GGTAACCAGAGAAACCATATTATTGAGAAACTCTATCTTATATTATTTTCTCATCATCATCCTCTTTACAGATACAAAAGAATATTTTCAGTGGGCACGAAGGGCATCACAACATACAACCCGACCTCATTTGAGGTAACCAATCAGTGGCCGTACGAGGAGTTCATCAGCATAAAACCCAACGACAGGTCACCATCCTCCAATAATGAGTTCTGCATAATGATGAAGAAGAACAACAAGAAGACTGACACAATGAGGTTCTCAACTGACCACAGATCCGACCTGCTCACAGACGCACTGAGGTTTCATCGCTTGTTTGCCGATAAGAACTACATGCCTAAGGTCTGTGTGTTTGTGTTTGTGTCTCTGTTTGTGTGTTTGTGTACATGTGTGTATGTGTCTCTCTGTCTATATAAGAAAAAAGTCTATATGTGTCTATATGTGTCTTTCTGTGTTATCTTTGTTGATGTGACAGTGATGATGACAGCAATATGATGATGTGTTCCATGTAGACATTATTTAATGGTTCATCAGGTTTATATTATTGATGATGAATATTCCAGTAATGCTATAAAAGTTAGTAATGTTAATGTGAATGATGATGGTGATAATGATATCATTCTGTGATGTCACTTATAAAGGTTTACTATGAAATAATGATTGATGACATTTGTAATTCTGATGGATTTGTAACTCTGATGACTTGATGTGAGGTTCACCTTGTTAATGTCATTGACAATTATATGAAATGGTGTTGTATGGATAAAAATTAATGTCTATGTGATTTCTCCATTTATTCATTAATTAATTAATTAATTCATTCATTCCTTCATTCATTTATTTATTCATATTCATTCATTCATTTATGATTAAGCATGCATAGATTTGTAAGCAGTCAAATGTCTGTTTAAATGTGTTGTTTGTTGTTTGTGTAAAATGCTTTGATATGGGCTTTTTCTAAGAGATGTTAAAACGTGGAAAGAAATTAATGGTGCCTTTGATAGTATGTACATTGTACATTATAAAGTTTTATAGATGCGTGAATGTGTTTGTGTGTGTCAGTGTGCGTGTGTGAGTTTGTGTGTGCGTGTGTGTGCGTGTTTGGTTGTGTGTGTGTGTGTGGTGTGTGTGTGTGTGTGTGTGTGTGTGTGTAGGTTCGTGTGCTTGCGAGTACAAATTCAGCTAGGAGAATTTGTTTTTTGCTTGTTTATATAAAATAAAAGCATGAAATCAATAACAGGTATTATGACGTCAAGTAGTTATAAAAATAGTGTATCACACAAACACACACACACACACACACACATAAACACGTACATATCTACATACACACATACAAACATTCATACATTCATACGCACGCACGCACACATACGTACATACATACAAAACGAAACGAAACGAAATTCTATTTGCTCCATAAAATTAAAAAATTTTAATGATAAGAAGCGGTCTGAACATGATAGAATTCTTATTGGAATTCATCGAGCATGGCCACCAGAACAGAAAATACAAATAAATGATGCAAGTTTGAATGTAATGGTCCGTACATACATACATGCATACATAAATACATACATACATGCATACACATATACATGCATACAGGCATACATACACTCACTCAGGCTTACATACACAAAGACAGCATTTTCTTACATTATGCAATAGACATTGCATATAGCACGTTGCACGCTGAAGAAGTCCTATCACTCGATTACTTGTAGGGCAGTTTTCGATTGTGAATAGGCGTTGTGTTAATATGTTTACAGTTCAGCTGATTGAATTATTATAGCAGGTTATGTTTTTTATTGATTAACTAAATGATTGGACAGTTGATTCGTTGATTGCAATCGACTGGTTGATTAATTGGTTGATTAATTGATTGGTTGATTGATTGATTGATTGATTGATTGGTTTGTTGGTTGGTTGGTTGATTGGTTGGTTGGTTGGTTGATTGGTTGATTGATTGATTGATTGATTGATTGATTGATCGATTGATTGATTGATTGATTGATTGATTGATTGATTGATTGATTGATTGATTGATTGATTGATTGATTGATTGATTGATTGATTGATTGATTGATTGATTGATTGATTGATTGATTGATTGATTGATTGATTGATTGATTGATTGATTGATTGATTGATTGATTGATTGATTGATTGATTGATTAGTGGGCTGATTGGTTGGTTGGTTATTTAGTTAAATAATTGGTAGGTGACTTTTTGATTGGTTGGTTGATTTTTTCATTGGTTTATTGTTAAATGAATTGATTAATAGATAGATTAATAAATAAATAAATAATTTAATTAATTAATTATTTGATGGAGAAATTGTGTGATTGATTGATTAGTAAATAAATCGATTAATGAATAAATAAATTAATTAAATAATTAATTAATCGGTTTCAACAGAGATACCAAGCATACAAACAACACTGGTCAGACAGAAAGGTGTCAACATGTTTGGAGATCAACCCAGGCTCACTTGACCAGATCAATCCACGCTCTGGTCAGACATTCTGCTCGTATGATTACAAAGATATGGAGGGCATTTCTCTGGTATTTATCTATTTGTTTGCCTGTGTTGTTGTTCGTTTGTTTGTGTATTCGTTTGTTTGCTTATTTGTTTGTGTATTTGTGTGTAGTTACATTTATAATGTTGTATTTGTGTATTTATTTTTCCTAGTGTATTTATAGTTTTTTTTTGTTAGTATATGATTTTTTGGCGTGGTGTGAATTTTGTAGGTGTCTTGTTTTACTCTTGGTACTCCTGTGTATAATATTATAGCATAATTGCTTACATTCGTTGGATCGGAATGTTTTTTTACGTTGAAATATTTTTTGAAGGTTTCCGATTATGACAAGGGTCTGGTCATCATGTCTGGAGGATTCGGTCGAATGGTCAGTTGTTGGTGTTGTGTTGCTCTCACATTTATTTAGACACATACATCCATCTATCCATTCATACTCTCATCTGTTCATTCATCTATCGACACGTCCATCTCATCCCTACATCCATTCCACCCATCCATCCATCCATCCATCCACCCATCCATCCATCCATCTATCCATCCATCCAGCACATGTTTTCAGTTGAGAGGCGAGACGAACTGATCCAAAGCATCCTCGAGACGTCATCCAACTACGTGGGTGTCCACATCCGACTTAAGAAGGAGGGCATCACGCTAGAACAATTTCAACTCAACAAGTTTGGCAAGTACAGGTTAGTCGGTCGGTCGGTTTTGTTTGTAGATCAAAGTTGTTGCTGGGTTGTTTGTTGCTGTTGTAGTATAGTTGCAGTTGTTGTTTGTTGATGGTGCTTGTTGAATATTGTAATCTTTTGTTAAGTTTTTGTTGAATATTAGTAGCTTTTTTTATATTGATGTTGGATGTTCTTCTGCTGGCTGGCTTGTTAGATATGATCAGTTGTTCGTTGTTTTTGTTACGGTTAGATCTTATTTATTGTCTTGCAGTGCATTCAAGTACAATGTTTCACGTCAAAAACCACCACCACTACCACACCACCGCCACCACACCACCACTACCACCACACCACCACCGACAGCACTGACGAGGCATTGACATCCTGTGCTGAGTTCACGGTGCAGAAGAAGACCTTGAGGGTGGAGGGGGCAACGAGGAGAACCCTCTGCCTCACTGAGACGTGTCTCGTTGAGAGGGACCCGGCCACGTACAACATCATCACGTGCAAGCCTCTCTGTGATGTCTGTCGTCGTTGTTTTTGTCGTTGGTGGTGGTGTTGTCGTCGTCGTTGATGATAGCAGTATCGGCGATGGTGTTGTTTGTTTTGTTTTTGGGTTGATGTTGTTATTGTGTGTGTGTGTGTTTTTTTTTTAAATTTTATTTGTGTTTGTTGTTTCGTTTCAAAGCCTGCAATGACATATAATAACTAAACTAATAACATAATAAATCTAGTCAAAAAACAAATTAACCAACAAATTGGCCCCGACAGATTTTTTCAATAGTCAGACCGATAGGCAACCCACAAGAGTTCAACATTGAATATGTAAAGGGAGAGATAAGAACGTACACATCCACTGATAGGTCAGCTGTGTGGCTTGGTGTGGTTCGTTGTGGTTGGTGCTTGTGTGGCTGTTTTTTGGTCGGCTGTTATGTGGTTGTAGTTGATTGCATTTGTTTTATATAACCTAGATTCATTAACTCTTATGTTATTTTATCAAATTCACATTGAAATTATTGACTCAAATCTTTCACAAAATTTTCATTTGTTTTCATTCTTTTTTAGCATCAGTAAGTACTTATGGCTTCAGGATATGTTTTGCAATATATTTGTAACATTATCATTTTTAAAGAAGTTTATAAATTTTTTTCATTGGAGTTCAATTATCTCACATCATCTTAGTTCGTGTTACACATCATCTGATGGATATTTTATTATATTTTACTGTGGCACAAACTGCATCTCTGCATTTCGTCAACTGATGTCACTCACTCACTCACTCACTCACTCACTCACTCACGAATACTCATTTGCATGTGCCGCGGGTTGCTAATGTTCTTGGAGAAGAACGAATTGGGAAAAAATGTCCTCACACCCAATCACTTTACATTGTATTTTTTCATTAAGAAGTGGTATATACATCAAAAAAAATTGAACGATAACGCATTAACTTAATATCACACTAGATCATGGGGATTATTTTACGTAATAAATACATATAACATGAAAAGGCAATCATGAAGAACGTGATCATGAAGTTAGCACTGGCTTCCAGTGCAACGATATTTGAAAATATAAGTCCATTGAAAAGCATTGAATAATAATGCATTAACTTAACGACACATCAGATGATAGCGAATAAATAAATAAATAAATAAAAGTAATTTCACATTGTAAAAAACAAAAAGTTAGATAATTTCACAATGCAAAAAGTTGAAAAAAGTTTCTGGAAAAACATGAAGCATGAATGGACCAAATGAGCCCATCATATAAAATTATAAAGATGAATGAACACTATGTTGGAGGTAAAAACCGTGTAAAAATGTGAATAAATCTTCGGAGAGAGTGAAAATACTCTAATAAAGATGTGTGCGCGATTGAATGGAAGGTTTAAAACTAGCGAAGAAAATGTTGCGTGTAAGAATTAACTGAAACCATAGTGTAAAAAATATGAATTATTGACGTGGTTGTTATCTCATTTTGAGGTAATGTGGGAAAATGTTACAGAAAGCAATGGAAAAAAATCACGAGGTGATTATTGTAATAGCTTTGCTGGACATATAACGCGACATCATTTACATTTTATGATTTACACAACTCTAGCAGGCACAGAGCCACTTTCAAATCATTTCTCACTTACTCTGTTTGTACGCGAGCTCCAGTACCGCATCATTTTATGGTGATCCTTTCGAATTCGAACCACTTCAGCGCGCAATAAAAACACGTTACATAGCACTCTACCATCTGAGCTATCCCGCCAACTCATCACGTGACACGTTACATCACAGAGATGCTCTGCTGGCCTCAGTGATGGATGGGGTGAGGGCATCTGGAAACAGGGATGTGCATGTCAAAATGAAATTCACTAATCGTGGACATCGACTTGGTTAGGAGGACAAGGGCTTTGGTTTTGCGTTTATGTTCATGATGATTGCAATGTATGTCTGTGATTGGTTTTATGGGTTGAATTATTTATAACTTAAAAAAAATTTACACGTATTTCTCCTGTCTGTTAAATTAATTTAATATCCTGTACTGATAAGGATGATAATGCCTTTCAACAACAACAACGTTAATGTTTTGAAAGGTCCCTAGTAACAACAACAACATCAACAACAACATCAATGTTTTGAAAGGTCCCTTCACAGTTCCCGTGGACGAGGAGGTGGAGAGCCAGCACCTGAAGTTCCTGCAGAACCCTCCCCCGGGCATGACGGCCACCGAGGTCTTGTCCAGGTTCAACAGCAACGTCTCCTACAGTGGTCTGCTGCATGCCGTCACTGCCGAGGTAGGTCCTTGCCCAATTGTGACTGGTCTGCCTGTCTGTGAATGGATGGATTAATGGAATAAGTGGATGAATGAATGAATGATGAATGAGTGAACGAACGAAAGAATGATGATGAATGATTTAATAAATTAATGATTCCACGATTATAAGCTACCGCTCAACATCACCATTTGCATTACATTCAGACCTTATTTGCCGAGAATAAGGAGCGTCTGATCAACGGAGCGTTATCTTCGTTGCTGGAATCAAATGGAGGTGACGTGAAGACAATGGAGTTGGAAGATTTAGAGGCTCAGCTACATGCTCTGAGGCGACTAGTCGCTTCAAAAGCTGGATTTGCCGCTTTCACAGCTCTTCCACAGTTGGTTGATGGAAGGATGGATGAGTAGATGACTATATGAAAAGTTGATAGATGGTGTGGAATTTATTTTAACAATTGGATCTCAACCTCCTCCTCCTCATCACATCCTCATTATCACATCATCGCATCCTTATCGTCACATCACATCATCATCATCACATCATCCTCATCATCACATCCTCATCATTGCAACCAGAATGAGAGAGAAGGTGGGCATAAAAGTGGTGAAGGCGCTGAAGAGGAATGACCTCGGTGTCAGTCACGCCGCTGTCGACATGCTCTGCTCCTTGATGCAGGTCTGTCTGTCTGTCTGTCTGTTTGTTTGTCTGTACGTGGAGAGGAGGAAGAGAACGATGATGATGATGATGATGAGGGTGATGATGATGATAATAATAATATTAATAATAATGTTGATGAGGACGACGACGACGATGATGATGATGATTGCGCGGTGTTGCCAGTGACTATTTTGATGATGGATGACTGTTGGCATGGCATGGCAATGTTCGCGATGGTCAGTCAGTATATGAGAATTGTGTTTGAACCTTTAATAAGAAAATTGAAATAAGTATCAAGGTTTAGGTAATTGGGTTTTAAGTTTTGTCACTGCTTCATCATCATTATTATTATTATTATTATTGTAATCTAATCGCTAGAGTCTTTATTATTCTATTGTTAAATTATTGTTAGTACCTATTATCACATCATTGTCATATAACATCGTCATCACATCGTTTTCATTCCTTCACTCTTCACTCATCATCATCACCTTCACTCCTTCCCTCTTTACTCATCGTCGTCTTCACTCTTTCACTATTCAACCATCATTTTCACTCCTTCACTCTTTACTCATCGTCCTCTTCACTCCTTCACTATTCACTCATCACTTTCACTCCTTCACTATTTATTCACCATCGTCATCTTCATTCACTCTTTACCCATCATCATCATCATCTCTGCACCAGCCCATGCACGACAACTACGACCTGCGACAAGAGCAATTGAACAAATCAGCTGTCCTCTCGTCGAAGAAGTTTCTTGAAAGTTTACTGGACATGTTCACTGGTCACGTGGTTCGTTTGTCCACTGCTGCTAATTTTATGACTCTGTATTGATTATTATATCAATATTTATTGTCTTGGGTATCATTTTATATCATGATTGTTATTTTTGTTTTTTTCTATAAACATTTTGGCCATCATCAAAATTATCCCACAAGCAATAGCAGGTAACATTCAGCTAGACACACATCTCCACATAACATTTTAATACAGAACAGGGGTTCAGGGGCCCTCGTGATAGCAGCCATGCTGGATTTCCTTACGTACTCCCTGTGTGCCCCCTACAGCGAGACCACAGACGGGGCCTGTTTTGATACCCTCCTCGAGATGGTTGCCAGCAATGGCAGGGCCATCTTCAAGTTGTTCCAAGTTGGTGGTGGTCATGAGTGTCGTTAGGTGGTACGATGATGATGATGATAGTAACGATCGTTGTGGTGATTGTAATGATTATGGTGATGAAGATGGTGATAGCAATGATGTCGATGGTTAAAATAAGTTTCTTCTTACCGAAATAATGACTCTGAATATTATGGCTGCCAGTTGATTTCGACAACGCGAGTAGTTAATCTTGCGTGCCTTTTAATTTTTTTTACCATTGTGAAGATAGATTCACACTGATGATAACAACAATAGATTTATCATAACAATAAGTTTATCATAACATTAAACAAACCTTCCCCAAAACTCAAACGACCCACTCGACGACATTCCAGCACCCTTCTCTGGCCATTGTGAAGGGAGCGGGCCTCGTGATGAAGGCCATCATAGAGGAAGGGGATGCAGAGGTGTCGCTGAGAATGCAGGACCTCTCCTTGGCTGAGGGCGCGCTGCCCAAACATCTGCACACTGCCCTCTTCACGAGTAGCACTGATAACAGAATGCTCACTGTTAGGTGAGTTATGATGATTAGGATGATGATGGATTAGGATGATGATGGATTAGGATGATGGATTAGGATGATGGATTAGGATGATGGATTAGGATGATGATTAGAATGATGATGGATTAGGATGATGATTAGAATGATGATTAGGATGATGATGGATTAGGATGATGATTAGGATGATGATGGATTAGGATGATGATTAAGATGATGATGATTAGAATAATGATTAGGATGATGATTAGGATGATGGTGGATTAGAATGGTGTTGGAAATGGTTTTGTGAGGAAGATGTTTCTGGTGATTATAATTAGTAAAGATGTTAACTATGTTATTGAAGATGATGACTCTGAAATCATTTAAGAAAAAATAAAAAAAAATAATGATTATCTTATCTTTATCATCAACACAGACAGCTGAGTCGCCATCTAATTGGCCTCTGGATAACAGGACATGAAACATCCATGTCGCTGCTTAAAAGAATGATGGTAGGCTGGTTGGTTGGTCGGTCGGTTGTTCGGTTGGTTGGTTGTTGGTTGATTGGTTTGTTGGTTGATTGGTAAGCTGGTTGGTTTGTTGATTGGTTGGCTGGCTGATTGGTTGGTTGGTTGCCTGGCTAGTAGGTAGGTTTCATTGAATGGTGTTATTTTGTTTTACAAATATTGAAAATGTTAAAAAAATATATAGGATAAAAATATTATTAATAAATAATTAAATTATAAATAATAATAAGTGATGTAATATTCTTGATCTTTTCTCCCCACCCAGCCTGTTGGTTTGCTGTCCTACTTGGATTCCAAGGATGATGTTCCTGATGATGATGTCGATCGGATCAACGTTAGAGATAACCTCAAACTTGCACAGGTTTTAATTCATTCGTGCATTCATGCATTAGTTCATTTATTTGTTTTATTCATTCATTCATTCATGCATTTATTCATTCATTCATGCATTCATTCATTCATTCTTTCATTCATTCATTCATTCATTCATTGAAGTATTTGTTCGTTGGTTGCATAGGATGTTTGTTTTAATTGTTGTTTAGATATTACTACTTGTTGCCAAATGGTTCTACACCACGAAACAGGAGCAAGACATCAGGAAGAGGAAGAACGTTCATTTGAAGCAGATAGAGAAGCACATCGAAGGTCTCCTGGTCCATTGGAAGAATAGACTTGGTATTGAATCAAACAATGTATGTTCTTCTTGTTTATGAGTATTTACATTGCACTTTTGGTTTGTTCGTTTGTATCTGCGTATGTATCTCTGGTTGTATGTATTTTATTTGCAATGTATGTCTGTGATTGTATGTAAATGTTTAGGCAAACAGCTAATGAGGGAAATGCACTTTAAAAAATTCAGTGGTGAAGACATCGCAATGTTAATATTTTGCGCCAAGTTAGCTAGTGTTTGACGTATAATCTCTGCCGTAACGTAAGCGTAACATACAAACACGTATGGATGGATGAATGAGCATGAATGGGTTGAACTCCAGCAAGTCCAGCAAGATAAAGTTGTCGTCCTGAGAAAGCGAAGGCAGAGGATCAAACCTGAAGCCAACTGGAAGCTGTTCTATTACCAATTCAACAAAGATCATGCAAAACCAAATCTAATATGGAATTATAAGGTATCTTTTCGTTTATTAACATGTTTTTGGTTTTGGCTATTTGACTATATGGTTCTACATTTTTTACATTATTAATTATTAGTATATCCATTTATCCAACTTATTGATTATGTGAAACTAACGCTTATAATTTGTTATTGCATTTACAAAATTTTTTTTCCTTTTTTTTTAGCCACAATATTTTTTAGTTGTATGTATCAAAATTTTTTAATCAATCAAAACTTTGCATATAACAACTACTCAACAGGTCAATGATATTTCAACAAATCAAAATAAAGTAACAACGATTTAACCAATCAAATTCCGGCACACTAAAATCACTCGGCCAATCACATTCACGAACAGAATTAACTGACTAATCATAAACGTGCGCACTACAGCCGATCCATCCAATTATAAACAATCTCACAAAACCAATCTATCCAATCACAAATAATCACCTAAAAATCTAACTAATAACATTTAGACGAGGGAGGAGCTACGTTTGGCGCTGGAGGACGAGATTCGTTCGTTTAACGTGGACAAGGAGTTGTCAGGTGGTGGGGTGGTGTCTTGGAACCATCTGGAATGTGAGGTACAATATCCATCGCTAGCCGAAGAAATTAAAATAGGTTTGCTGCTGGCTTATTCGCTATTATTCTATTCTATATTATTCTAAATGAGTGAGAGATCATTCCTATAAGCTTTATTATTATAATTAGTAAAACTAGGCTGGGAACTATAATAGTTTAGCTTTTTAACGGATTTACTGCTGGTTTGAGTTAATTGCGAGTAAATTATGTTCATTGGTGCAGCTATAGCTGATGGTTGGCGGTTGTTAGACGCCCATGTAAAGAATGAAAAGTAATAGAAGATAGTGGCTAATTGTCAGATTTTAATGAATGGCTGGCTCTTCTACGGGTTCTTCTACTAATTCGTCTTAAATTTTGGAAAGATACGATGAATAATAATCAAAAAATAAATGTCATTAATGTTATCAAAATGCTGGCTTTATAGAATCAATGAAAAGCTTCCTGATTGAAGATAATTATTTTTTGAAGTAATTTTATTTTCATTTCATCAGGGAACTATTATTTGAGGATTTTATTGGAGGAGGATGAGAAGGAGGAGTCTAGCAACATCACTCAATCGTACGTCGATGTGTTGTTGCTGTTTGTCTAGTTGTGCTGTTGTTTGAGTTGTTGTTTGTCTTGTTGCTGTTTGTTTGTGTTGTTGTTTGGATTGTTGTTTGTGTTGTTGTTTGGGTTGTCGTTTGTGACGCAGCCATGAAACTATTGCTAATTATTCCTTTTTGACACCCTCTCCTCAAAGATTTCACCATTACTGCTTGCAATCAAAATCTCATCTAACTAACTTCGCAGTTACGAATTCTTCAACGACCTCTACCATCGTTTCTTGCTCTCTTCGAAGATCCAGATGAAGGCAGTCTGTCTACAGGCTATGTCCATCGTTTATGGCAGGTGTCACCAAGACATCGGTCCATTCAATGACACCAAGTTCATCGTCACAATGCTCGAACGAGTTAGATCTGCTTGGCCGGATCTGGTGTTGTGTGGTCATTTAGGTTTGTAGTGGTGGTTGTACTTCCGGCAAATATTTTATTTCCTGGCGTTGTTTTTTTTTTTTTTTTTATTTCATAAATTCACCATTCATCATTCACTATCGCTATTCATCCATCACCATATCATTATCATTTTCACTATTCATCCATCACCATCACTATTCATTCATCACCATTTCATCATCATTTTCATCATCGTAATGGAGTAATTGGGAGTCATCTTTTAACAGTCTGTTGACAGGTTGGAAAGAGACAGATTGATCATGTTCATTAACAAACTCCTTCTCAACAAGGTTTTTTATTTCTAAGTATTATATTATATTTATATTAAAAGTATTTTTTTTATAATACTGATATTATTTATGATGGTTGATAATATTTTTGAGGTAATCATTTCATTCTGTTTCGTTTAAATGTATATTTTTATTCGGTTATGGTTTAACAATAATAATAATAAAATTCTGTAACGATGTTATTGGTATTGATAATTTTAATTGGGTTTAATTTTAATTGGATAAGGTTTAACAATAATTATTAATAATAAAATTCAGTAATGATGTTATTGGTATTGATAATTTTAATTGGGTTTAATTTTAATTGGATAAGGTTTAACAATAATTATTAATAATAAAATTCAGTAATGATGTTATTGGTATTGATAATTTTAATTGGGTTTAATTTTAATTGGATAAGGTTTAACAATAATTATTAATAATAAAATTCAGTAATGATGTTATTGGTATTGATAATTTTAATTGCATTCGTTGGTGACGAATGGGCAAATAATGATGAAAAGGTTGATAAATGAGGACGATGACGAAGATGATAAAAATGATGATGAAAAAGGGGATGATGAAGAGGATGATGATGATGAAGAGTAGATAAAGAAACATTGAGAAAACATTTTTTGATATATTTTCGAACAGAGGAACGTTAAAGATGTGATGGATGCGAATGGTGTGAAGATCTTGGTGGACCTCTTAACAATGGCACACCTGCACGTTAACAGGGCCGTCGTGCCTATGCAGGTTTGTTCCATTGTTTTCCAGCTTCCTTCATAATTCATTTTTATTACTTTCATTATCATTTCTCGTTCTTGTCATTACTTTCATTATCATTTCTTATTACTCATATCATTTTTCTTTTTTACCGCCATCATTATAATCATCATCTCTATTAACTCTTTACCATCGCCAACTTCATCACTGGCCTGGTTTTCATCATCTTCATCATCATTTTCATAATTCACTGATCTTATTTGAAATTTTTCATAATCGGATAGTAGATAGATAGTAATTTTTGTTTCTTTTTATCAGCCAGTCAAGATTATTTTATTAAATTTAAAATTCGTCTGTTTTTTTTCTGCTGGCTATACAGTTTGATTGAAAATGTCCGCTTAATTTGTTCCTTTTTTTTTTAATTTTTTTTAAATCCATTTTATTCACAAAAAAGTGAAAGAATCATACATTTGCTTCACGTACTAAGTTAAAAATTTGCGAAAATCCCAAAATAAATTAAAATGGAAATTATTAAATTCATAGTCGAATGTGATAGAGGCAACCCCGAACAGCCAGAGGGAGAGTGAAAAGGAGTGGTACTATGGCATGGCTGACAAGGAGAGGCTCGGTCCCTACAGTCTCGATGAGGTTCGTGCTTGTGTGTGTGTGTGTGTGTGTGTTTTATGGTTTGTGGTGTTGTGTGTGTGTGGGTGTTTTATGGTTTGTGGTGTGGTGTGTGGCGTTGTGTTTTGTGTGGCGGTTTGTTGTTGTAGGATTTTAAACGTCAGCATTGTTAATATTTTTCTCCTCATCATAGTTTTTCAATCCATTTGAGTGATTGATTTTTAAAGTTTCACTCGTTTCAACCTTTTTATTCATTAATATTAAAATTGCCTTCCCATATTTAGATGAAACAGTTCTGGGCCGAAGGGATAATAACGGCAAAAACTCGATGCTGGGCGCAGGGAATGGACGGCTGGAGACCTCTCCAACTCACACCCCAACTGAAGTGGACATTCATGGCGACTGGACAGGCGGTTCTCAATGAAAGTGACCTTGCAACGCTCATACTCAACATGTTCATCAAGATGGCTGAGTTCTATCCAAGCAGGTTTGCCTCTCTTTCTCTCTGTATCACAGTTTATTATTGTAGTTTGTTTTTGTACTACAAACAAATGTAATGATCATATAAATTTAATTTGTATTGAGAACACGACTGAGTTCTATTCAATGTTCTTCTTCATTCAGAGATGTAGACAACTGCATAATTCGACCACTACCGCGTATCAAAAGGTTCTTGACGGATCCCTCGTGTCTGCCACACATTGTGCAGGTCAGTTTGTGGTCACTGCTCTTCTTCTTTCTGCTATGGTGTGATAACTGCTTATATTGCTTGCAAATTGTATTTCTCACTCAAAAATTCTCCGAATCCAGTTGTTAGTGACTTTTGACCCAGTACTTGTGGAGAAAGTGGCCACCTTATTGTACTTGATAATGGATGAGAACCCGTGCATGCCTCGATTGTACTTGAGTGGTGCCTTCTTCTTCATCCTCATGTACACTGGATCCAATGTACTGCCTATTGCCAGGTTGCTCAAGAACACGCACTTGAAGCAGGCTTTCAGGTCTGATGAGGTTCGTTGACCTGTGTGTTACGATACGACGTTGTTCGTGCTCGATTGTTTATCATTTGGTCATTGTTTGGACAATCCGTTATTAATCGCTAAACTTGCTGGTATTCATTTTTCCGACTATTAATTGCTGTTCATTAACAACATATTTTTCATTAAATTAATTTTTTTTAATAAGCTAAGCAATCGTAAAATTTCCAAACTTATTTTAGAAAACGAGTTCAGACATAATGCAGAAAAGTGTGTTGGGTCACATGCTGCCTGAAGCCATGGTTTGTTACCTGGAGAATTATGAGCCTGAGAAGTTTGCTGAAATCTTCTTGGGGGAGTTTGATACACCTGAAGCTATCTGGAGCAGGGAGATGAGGTGATGCCTCTCAATACTCGTTTCCTTCTCCTCTACTCACTCTTCATGCTGATTGAAGTGTCCTTGAATGTTCATTTTTACGTCATGTAATATATGTATTTATGGGAATGATTATGTCATTGCATCATGTACCTAATTGTTTCTGTTTGTTTTTTTGGTCTTAAAGTCTTTTCTTTGTCCCATTCATCAAAATATTATTTTTTTTCAATTTTATCAATTTTCTTACTATTAGCTTGTTTATTACAACTGTCGCTATTGATTACTTGCACCAAACGACAGACGCTCACACACGCGCACACACACATACACACGCGCACACACACACACACACGTCAGACGCCTGATGATCGAGAGGATAGCTTCCCACGTAGGAGACTTCTCTCCACGTCTGCTGAGTAACACGCGTGCCCTATACCAATACTGTCCCATCCCCGTCATCGTCTACCCCCAACTTGAAAACGAACTCTTCTGCAGTATCTATTACCTGAGGCATCTCTGCGACACTGCCAGGTTCCCTGACTGGCCTATCATGGATCCGGTCTGTTGAGATTTCGTTTCCAGTTATCTTATTCATTTACTATGCTGAGAGTGTTTCTCTATTTATCGAATTCGTTTACTATGTTGGGTTTTTTTTATTATTAATTAACTCTGGATTTTAGTTATTAATTTATTTTATTTTAAATATTTTTAAAGGAAGAGTTAAAATAAGGAAAAATATTTATAGAAAGTTAGAGTAATAAAAGGTTGCTAAATAAAATAAAGATGGGTTTGTAGAGTAAAGTAAAGAAAGAAAGAAAGAAAAATAAAAAAAACTAAATAAACAAATTGTTTTAACAGATCCGTCTGCTGAAGGACATCTTGAAATGCTGGAAGGTGGAGGTGGAGAAGAAGCCGCCATCCATGTCTGTCGATGAGGCTCTCGAGACTCTCAACCTCGATCTCCATGATAAGAAGTCAGGGTGCATGGATGGTTGTGTAGATGAATGTATGATTGTGTAGACAAATGAATTAATCAATGAATGAATGAATGGCAAATGAATGAATGAATGAATGAATGAATGAATGAATGAATGAATGAATGAATGAATGAATGAATGAATGAATGAATGAATGAATGAATGAATGAATGAATGAATGAATGGATAGATGGATGGATGTTGAAATGGGTGAATAGACAAACCGATGAAGCGATAGATGGATGGATGAATAAAAAAGTAGTTGTGGAAGTGAGAGGATGTTATATTCCAGGAGAATTTGCTTTGTTTATTGGACAGATGTAGAAAAGAACGTTGGGCTTGGTGTGGTTAGATTGCTACAGAAATATATGAAGGAACGGATGAGCCTTTAGCATCAACCATTGATTAAGCATTATTAATTTAAAAAAAAGTGCTACAACATTCAAAATCGCGTAAAATTGAAATTATCAACAAATCCATCTCATCATTACATCACTCGCTCACTCATTCTCTCACTCACTTACACACTCATTCGCTCACTCATTCACTTTTTCACTCACTCTCTCAGCTGCCAAGGTGACAGGTTGGATGAGGCGGTGGTGAGGAAGGCCTACTTCAGACTAGCGCACAAGTACCACCCTGATAAGAATCCCGATGGAAGGGTTGGTCACGTGACGTGTGTGTGCGTGTGTGTGTGTGTTTGTGATGTAGTGGTCGTGTTTGTTTGTGCACAATGTTGTACATGTTTCAGTATGTGTATGATATACACACATTAGTTGTATGTGAATTTCTTAGGTATCTGTTGACTCGGAACTTGTCTTCTAAATATTTCACTGTTATTACATCATAACTATTCTCTGTTTTTTATCATTACTTTTTTAAAGATTCAAGATTTTCTATTGGAGCAAACCAAATTAAGTTTAAAAACCTACGAAAGTTTATTTTCATCGTCACACCCGTCCGCCCAACTCTTCAGGAAATGTTCGAGAAGGTGAACAAGGCGTACGAGTTTCTTTGCAGTCGAGTGAAGTTGTCAGACGGTCCCAACCCTGAGAACATCGTCCTCATCCTCAAGTCCCAATCCATCCTCTTTGAGAGGTTCAGGAATGGTTAGTGCTACTTACTTCTGGTACTTGTAGTTTCTTTCATTTTGCAGGGTCTGGTCAAATCTTTGTCAAGATGGTTTGGTTGTGTTTTCTTTTCAGCAGAGCTTATTTGTCTTGGATCAAATTTTTTGTGACGCGATGTATTAATGGTTGAGATGCTTGGCAGTGTTGTGGCAGTGAGAGGGTTTGAATGCAAATGATTCCTGCCTATTACGTGCAATGTGTGTGGTACATTGATTCATGCCTAATTCATGCGCCTTACGTATGCTGCTGACACCTCTGAGAGATGATAAAAGTATAATTTTAAAAAATCGATAGTGAACATTTTCGTCTGGATTTCAACAACAACAATTTTTCTTGAGCTAGTACATCTTTAAGATGTGAATTTTTAAATCATTTTTATTTGTCTATATAACCATTTACATTATTCATTTCATATAAATGACATTTCAGTCACACTTACAGCTAACGTGTATCCACCTCACCTGTTCACACCACTCCTTACTCTCCATTCTCCATCCACATCTCTCTTTCAGTTCTGGCGCCCTACAAATACGCCGGCTACCCGATGTTGATTCGAACGATTCAGCTGGAGTCAGTGGACGATGCCCTCTTCTCCAAGTCGGCTCCCATCCTCAGCGCGGCTGCTCAACTCTCCTACCACACTGTCAACTGCTCGGCCCTCAATGCCGAGGAGTTGAGGAGGGAGGGAGGAATCGAGGTTGGTTGGTTCGGGGTCTGCCAATGTGGGTCTGCCATTGGGGGTCTCTTCACGTGAGATGTGTCAATGTGTTGACTGTATTCAATCGGTGAATACGCTCTGACGCCTAACGTGAAAACTTTCAACACTGACAAAAGTGGATGAAATTGTTCATAGTTTTCAATGTAATTAACATATTCATTGAACTTGATTTCAGATCCTACACGATGCATTTTCGAGATGCGTTGGTGTCATCAGCAGGTCCTCAAAACCCGAAGATCTGGCCGTACAGGCGAGTTTGATTGATGTTCAGCAGTTAATTAAAATGTTGGGTCAGCGACGCGTTGCAGGGTTCATGTTGAGGTCGATGTCGTACAAGTCGTCGTATGGGCAGCCGTTGCGGTTGCTTCATTTGGGCAGCCGTTGCGGTTGCTTCATTTGGAATGATATGAATAGGATCCTAATTTCAGTAATGTTATTGTAATGATGACGATGACGATGAAATTAAAATTTCGCTGAATTTTGAATTGTATGAGTTAGTATTTGTGTCATTCATTCATTCACTCATTCATTCATTCACTCATTCATTCATTCATTCAATCAATCATTCATTTTCACACCCAGGTGTGCACCCACATAGTGCAATGTTTCGGAGTGTCGGCGCAGTTTGATGCATGTCGAACGTGTATCTTGGCACTGCCTACCATCGTCCAGGAGGTTACGAGGATCCTCTACTACAATGTACGTGCTGCTGTCTTCTGATGGTGCCACTCTGCTTCATTGCTTGTAACGTGTGGGATACACTGTGCCTCAATGTTGTTACCATTAATATAAATGTGACTCGAAATCTCGATATTGTTATGCTACTGTATGTGTTGTGCTCTTTCCATATTTTGATGTAAAAGGCTCTCTTTTTACTAGCTGAGGTTTTTAAATGTCCTCACAATGTCTTTCTTCTCTACGCTGCCTCTTTAGTTGGTACCTCAGGTTTGTTCGTACTGTATTGTACATTCATGCAATGGTTTTTGGCGTATAAATCGCGCGTGGGCTCAGCTTTGCATATTTAGAGCACGGATATATATATATATATATATATATATATATATATATATATATCTTAATTATAATAATTTCAGCATTTATTCAATGAGAAATGACTTACCTGAACGTCAGAATGTTCCGAAATTGTGCCAGCACGTTGCCGAGTGCATAACACTGCTGTCGGTGGATGCCACGCTGCAGGACAACATGCTGAAGGCTGGCGTCCTCTGGCACCTCCTTCTCTTCCTATTTGAATACGACTACACGCTGGAGGAGGGTGGAGTTAACAAGAGTGATGAAACCAATCAGCAGGTGATCTCATTTTGATTGACAATTTGGGATAATTTTTAATAAAAGAAACTATTCTATACTATTTTAATGAAATACGTGGAAAAAATTTAGGAAACAAAAAACAACCTTGCGAAACTGGCAATTCATGCTTGCGCGCGATTGGCTGGTTGTCTGTCGGGTGAGTTTGCCACGCCCAGCAATCCGTTCATCAAGAAGTGTCTGGCCTCCATGCTCACCCCATACCTCGCTAACAAACTGGCCGACAACCAGTCTGCCGAGGTTTGTGGATGACGATGATGATGAGAGGAGAATGGTGATGATATTGTATTGATGATGATGAGGGTGGTGATACGATAATGATGGTTGTGATGGTTAGTCATGATGATGTCATAATGATGACAGCGTTGCACATAAATGTTTAAGTTAGAAAAACTAACATGGCGTCGGTTTTAAATACAGTATCTGTTATAATTTTCATTCAACATTAATTAATTTTTGATGATTTATTCAAGTTTTCAATTGCTATAATGAGTTAATCAATAGATGCAAATTATTTTCTGTACGTTGAATCATCTTCAACATCACCACATGACCATCTACCATCACCACCACCACCACACCAGCTCTTGAAGCTGCTGAACAGAAACACAGAGAACCCTATGTTAGTGTGGAACAATGAGACCAGACTGCAACTCATTGAGTATCTAACTGACCAGCAACAACTTCAAATCAGAACTGTACGTTAAGTACTGTTGTTGTCTTTGCTGTTGCTGTTGTTGTTGTTTGTTGTTGTTGTTTGTGGTGGTGTGGTTGTTGCTGTCGTTCGTGTTGTTTTTGATCTTGCTTTCATTGTGGTCGATTTTATATCGACCTTGAAATAAACTTTTTATATTTCTTGATGTTAACTACATGCTACTAACTATATGACCCGACCTGATTTATAGAGTGAAGGTGAATATGATATTATTAATGTGACCTAAAGACGTGCTGGTACGATCTAATGACATCATTTGACCTAGTTGCATGATACCGCCTCATTAATGTGACCTAATTGATGACTTAATTAATGTGTCCTACTTAATGGGACCAGGGGGAGTGTGACCCTACGTATGGCAGCACATTCCAGTTCAGTAGGCATGAGAAGGAGCTGATCATTGGAGATGTGTTTGTCAGGATATACAATCAACAACCAACTTTCATGCTTGATGTATGTTTGTATGTCTGTATCAATGTTTGTATATATATTTGTTTGTATATATGTTTGTTTGTATATACGTTCATATGTTTGCTTGATTACTTCCATGTTCTTTCTTCGCTTGTTTTTATATGTTTTGAGATTTGATAGCGTGTGTAAATTTGTTTGTTTGTGTATGTATATGTGTGTGTTTGTATGTGTGATGTATGCGTTCTTATGTGCGTGCGAGTCTGTGTGTGTGTTTGTTTGTCTATTTTGCTATATCATATTGCACTTTTTGTTTTAATTGCTTCTCTAAAATTGGTCATAATTTAACGTGTGTAAGATGATGATGAGAATAATTTAATTCATATAGACCTAAATTTCTTGATCAATGATTTATTTTATTATTTTAATTTCAAAATAATTCAATTATATATATATATATGTATATTTATTTGTTTATAATTTAAATTGTGAAGCCAAAAAGTGATATGGTTGGTTAAGGAGTTAGTTGCACCTGTGTGGTGAATGATGGTGTTTAGTTGTTGAGATGTTTGTTATTATTATTATTATTATTATTATTATTATTTATTATTATTATTATTAATAATGTCTTGTATTTCGGGATTATTATTATTTTTTTTGACAAGTTTATATCTGTTACATTTTATGGATTGCCCTGGTGACATTATATATACATTTTCATGGATGACGGCATGTTAACTCTTCTACTAATATTGTACAATTAGTAACTTATTGTTGACCAATGAGATCATTTAATTGATGGTTGGTTAATTTGATGAGTTGCGTTCAATCAACATCTTGAAAAGTTTCATTCTTTAACAAAAGTTTCTTTCCTAACAAGTTCATTGGTTATTTAATTGCGCTGTAATTTGTAACGTTATGTTACTTAGCAACTGTTAACATTTATATCAACACTTCACTCAACAACGACTTACATTCATGTTTATTAACATGGAACATCCTTGAACCATATGTAATGGTGATGGTTTATTTATTCATCAACTACCACACGCAGTTTTGTTGACCAGACGTGAAGCAACGCTTCTTACAAATGTCAGTCGAGACTGCTCATGTATTTGAACCCGGTCACAGCAACGCAAGACTAATTGCTAAAAATCATTACCTCACCTACCTCAGAGCTCCTTCTCCGTACACCAAATATATTTCAACATTTGCAGGACGCCAAAAGTTTCACGATGGATTTGATAGACTACTTAGGATCGCAAGCTCAGGTTTGTGTCACATTATTCATCTATTTATTCATTTACTTATTAATTAATCGTTTCTCTCCAAGTATTTGCAGTCGTTGGATGCATTGCTGCAAAAACAACAGCAGCAAATGAATGGTATCGCGACGACAACAGCAACAAAACCACCAACCACAGCCTCAACAGCAGCAGCAGCAGCAACGTCACCAGCAACAACGCCAACGTCAACAAATTCGAGTGTTGAACGAATTTTAAATGTTGAAGCCTCCTTAGAAGCACTGCATAACGTCATCAAAAATAATCCAGGTTAGCCTTCTATTATAAATAAAAACATGAATTTAGAAATATGAAATTGATATGAATAAAATTGATATGAATAAAATTGATATGAGTAAAATTGATATAAATGTGAATGTTGGTTGAAAGGTGTAGAGATGCAGTGCATTGGACATTTCAAGCTGTTGTTTGCCCTGCTGAGGGTGGATGGCTACCCCAAGGTCCAACAACATGCACTCGAGGTTGATCATCTTTCTTCTCGTCACTTCATCCTGCTATTGTTGTCACTTCTGTTGTTTTTACACTATTGTTATTTTTTCATTATTTATGCTCAGTATTTGTCTTTATAATAGTCGTAATAATAATAATAATGCTTGAAAATAAATAAATTAAAATAAATTAAAATAAATTAATGTTGATAACAGTAGAAGTTATTGTGATATGAGTACTAGCAGTAATAGCTGTGATCGTTACAGTACAAGCACGATATGAATGCGAAAATGTGCAACAACCACAGGTGATATCTCTGGTGACGGCCAACCAGGATTGTGTCAATGACATCTCAGCCTCCCAAGTCATGTCCTACCTGCTTCTCGTCATCATGTCCCTACCGCAACGTTCGTGCTACTTTCTTCTTGATACTCCAGATGTTGTTGTCGTCGTCGTCGTTACAGTTGTCGTTGTTTTTGATGTTGTTGCTGTTGATGATTTTGTGCAACAGTTGATGTCTATTGTGTTGTTGTTGGTGGTGGTGGCGGTGGTGGTTGTGGTGATTTTTTTGTTGCGATTAAAGTTCTAAATATTATAATATAATTATAATTTATAATTTTTATAATATATTATAATAGCTTTTATAATATTATTTTTATTGAAAATTTAGGTCGTTTTTGTTACTCAGTTTTGGTAGGATTCAACAAAGTTTATATTAAATTAACTTTTAATTTTTTTTATTAAGAATTATGAATAACCTGAGAAATGTTTGCACTGCAGACAACTGCTTGACCCTACAAGTTATGCATCCACTGACGTCAAACACCAGGTTACTCAAGGAAATCATCAACAAAGGTCTTTGTTACATTTTCAGATTTTTATTTTTTTTTTCATTTTCATAATTTAACATTTTATATTGATGGCGATGTAGTTTCTTGTTTGTTGTAAAAAGTATTTTGTTTTTGAATCTATGGTTAAAAAATGTTCTCATCAAATCAATTAATCAGTCAATTAATCAGTCAATCAATCATTCAATCAATCAATCAATCCATTAATCAGTCAATCAATCAGGCAATCAATCAGTCAATCAATCAGGCAATCAGTCAATCAATCAGTCAATCAATCAATCAATCAATCAAATATATTTATGTAGCGCAATTTATATAAAACCAACAGGGGGCCTCATCTACCTTCTGCATCTCTTCTGCAATTCGACATCGAGTCAGGTTCGTGAGCAGGCAGCCGACCTGATGAGTCGTATGATGGCCGACAAGTTGGTTGGTCCGCGGGTCCGGATCATCCTCCTCAAGTTCCTCCCCAACATCTTCATGGACGCCATGAGGGAGTCTGCCGAAACCAGCGTTGCTCTCTTCGAAGGTTGCCCGCTCGTTGTTATCACTATTGTCATTATTTTTATGTTGTTACTATTATTTGTTGGTGTTGTAGTTGTAGCTTATCATTCTATGTGAGGACCATCTTTCACATTTATCAACCACTTGATGAATTGGTTAGCACGTTCATGCAGGGACCCACGAGAATCCAGAGTTGATATGGAATGAGGACGCGCGGTCGAAAGTCAGTTGGAGCATCAGGGACATGAAGGATGAGTTAGTCTCTTTTCATCTACCATGGTGTTTGTATTTCATCTGTTTTCTTCTTTTGTCATGTTTCTTATGTTTTTTTTTGCGTTTTCATCTGCCGTACCTGATTTTATATGTCAATTTTAACTACGTTGGCGTTTGCATTTTCCAGTGTTCAAATTATTTAAATGATGTATTTTTTTCATTTGTTTTGTCGTTGGTAATAAATACACACAAATTTATTTTTATAATGTCTTTGCAACGTAAGTTTTTTGCAAGATATGTATTGTAAACCCCAAACTAACTTGTTAACAATTCAACTAAAATCGACAATAATTTCTTTCTCAGTTTTTACGGACAGCAGAAGAATGATCCGACAATGAAGTGGACTATAGACGAGACCATGACACCTCTGTACGCCTCTGAGACGGGAGAGTTGGTCGTCGGCGATGTCTACCTGCGTCTCTTCATCAACAATCCAGGGTGGGTGGTCAGGAAGCCGAAGGAGTTCATGGTGGAGCTGTTTGAGAAGTGGACTCAACTGGTCTCCATGGAGAAGATCGATGTTAGTCGGTTGCTGCTGTTCGTCGAAGTGTCGTATGCATGTGACTGAATGTGTTAATGTTTCGTTGATGGTGTTTAGATGTGGCGTGTTTATTTTATCATTTAACAATTAACAATTTAATTTTAACATTTAACAATTTTGTTAAATTAACATTTAACAAAATTTTTTTAGAGTTTCCACTTCTTATCTTCAGTTATTCATTTCATTAAGTTGTTGACAATATTCGTTCCGTTCGTTACTTCAGGGCGAAAGTTTGGAAACAGTGACAACAGCCTTGACTTTGTTCTTGAACGTTCAGTCGTCCATGTTGGATCAAGTGCCCCAACTGGGTCACATTCCTAAGCTGTTCACTTCCATGCTGTCCAATCAAAATGCAGTCCCAGCAAGTGCCATGAAGATCGTTCAACAGCTCTCCAATAGCCAAGTAAATCAGTGGGAGGAGCTTAAGTGGTTTCTTTGTTGACAACCGTATAGTTAAACATGGATAATTCACTGCTTGTTTGCAACTCATACTAATGGTCATTACACGTAGGTGTGCATTCGATCGATGTCCCAAACTGAGTCGATGCGGCCGATGAAAGTGGCCATGAAGGGCAGGAGGGACGTTGTTGGCGTGGCCTGTGATGCCCTCATGAAGATGTTCAGCTGTCCTGACGATGATCTCATTGAACAGGTTCATTCATTCGTTCGTTCATTCATTCATTTACTTATTCACTCATTCATTCCCTTTAATCTATCCATTCATGTTTGCGTAAACGGATGAGTTAAATTAAATTGGACGTACGGACGATAATTGTTAGATGGCTGGATGGACAGATAGATTTGTTGACGAGTGGACAGATGTATAATATGCCTCTATCTCCGTAAATGAAAACCACCTCGCATTTGTTATTGACGTTTCGCTAGAAAGATTATTGTTTTAGTGATATTGTAACTATTTAAAATTACTCGCCTAATGAAAACCATGTAGATCCTGAAGGCAGAAATGATTCCATTTCTGTTGGGCTACCTACAAACTGGACTCGAAGGATTGGATAATTCATCATCCGTCAAAGCTCAAATCGTCAAGGGCATCAAGTCACTACTTACGAATGCTAAATACACGGAGCAAGTTGGTTCCATTCTTTTTTTGATTGTTTTGTTGAATTGATTACGCAAAATAGTTCTGCAACAAATATTTTTTATTTCATTGCTTATTTGTTTTAATTTGTTTTTCAGTAAATCTAACCTCAAATGAAATTTTTCCATAAATATAAAAATGAAACTGCCAACTGCCAACAATCCCACACACTTACATCGCACACTCCGTCGCACGTGACTGCAGTTAATGGATATTTTGGAGAAGAGTGTCATTTGGAAGGATTACAAGGACCAAAAACACGATCTCTTCCTCGCTGACAACCCTTGTGCTGGGTATCTAACAGGTAGATTGCTTGTCGTTGGTTGATTGATTGATTTGATTGATTGATTGATTGAGTTGTTGATTGGTTGGAGGTTTGATTGGCTTGTAGGTTGGATGAATGATTGGTTGCATGGTCGATTAGATTGTTGGTTTAATTTTTTGAGCACAAACTAGACGAACGCATTACTAACTGGATTAATTAATTAACTGAAACATTACAAGGTTCAGGAGTCGCTGGTTACTTGACAGCTGCCACGTCTCCAACTTCATCCATGCCTTCCATTCCCCCACCTATTATCTGATTGATCTTCCTTAATGTTATTGTTCTTGTGTCTGTCTGTCTGTCTGACTCTTGTCTGTCTGACTCTTGTCTGTTTGTCTGTCTGACTTATTGTGTTTGCATATTTTCTTAAATTAAATATTTGTCAAATTTTTACATTATTTTGTTCGCTGCAGATACGCGACAGTTATTTGTGTGAATTTGATTGTTAGCGTCTTGGCTGCTTGTTCCATCTTGTTGTTCGTTTGCACTCATTCGTTTCATTACAATGCAGGATCGCCATGTTTTAAGGTCTTTTTTTTATTTTGCTTTTCTTCTTGTTCTTACCGCGAATTATAAAGTTATAAAGTACTATTATATTACCGTATTTCTATCGTTACTGTCGATTGTTCGATCGCTCTTTTTTTTTATAATATTATCACACCACCAAACTACTCGCCTGTAGCAGCAAACAACATCATCGATGTGTCATTAGTCAGACATTCGTAACCATCCCCTTCCGGAAGATGAAATTTATTATTACTATGAAGATGAGATACTCCTTGCAGAGGATTCATTTGTCAGATGATACATTTGACAGACATCTACATTCAAATCTCGACCGAGTACATACGAGTCAAATGAAATCCAACCCACACCTACCTATAACGACGCGTATTTCCTAGTAGTTCCACGTAGTTCCTTTTACTAACACGATGAAATGATAGGGGCATTCCAGGTTAAATGGACTCTTGTGCGTACGTCTTATGTGTATGTGTATATGTCCATACGCTTATATGCGTGTACATATAATACCTACCCACAGTTTAAGGTAGGTGTTGAAATGTAAAATTTCACCCAACCATGACAAGATGCTGAATGGTCGTTCTATGACTGTACGATGATTACTGATGGATATCTATTACGTTCATTATTATTATTATTATTATTGTATATCATTTTTTGTTATTATCACTGTTTATTTATGTATTAATTAATTATTTATAATTACTATTAATATGTTTTTGTTATCTATGTTTTTAGAGGAAATATTATTGCCATTTGTTATTTCTTCAATTATATGTCAATCACTTGTTTATTCTGTTATATTATTTGTAATAATTTTGTCAGTATTGTTATTGTGTTCGTTGATTCTGTTGTTATTATTATTTTTATTATTATTTTTATTTTTTAAAACATTATTTGTGCTAATTTACATTCGCGTATATCTGTCCTGTTGATATTCTTCCCTATTCAACGTGTAAGACGTTCTTCATTTATTGAACATTACAAATACCTACGTCTCGGACGTTTTAAGTTTTAAATTCAGAATTCTCTGAAACTAATATTTTATTACATTTTATTATTATTAATAATGCTTTGTTAAATGGCATTTTATTTTTCATTTTGTGTTTGTATATATATATATATATATTATATATATAATATATATTATATATATATATATATATATAATATATATATATATGACCGATTAAATGGGAAACATTCTATTATTTGTAAATAAAATTAAGTAAAAACTTTTAATTTGCAAACATTTTTTGGAAAAAGATACAATATAAATAACATCTATATGAAAAGAAAAGCATTTAACTCATAATAAAATTTTAAAGTTGTTGGATGGATGGCTATGGTAGACCATTGTTGTTCTTACTAATGGCCAATATTGGAAGCTGAAATTTTCTGTTTTTATACACCCGACGAATGCATAACGTGGCGATCTAACTGAGATTTGACGAGGGTGTCAAAAACTGAAAATTTTTGCTGGTTTAATTCAAATACTGCTTGTCCCCATTTAAATTTACCCTGCATGCCTACGTACGCAAGTCGTGTGGTGTAGATAATAAAGACCGCGTGGCACGAATGTTTTATCGGGGAGTAGAAGGTTGTAGAGTGTTGTTAGAACTGCAAAATGAAAAAAGTGGCAAGATTTTTGTTCATATTTATTAAAAAAAGGTTAATTTTTGCAAATTTTTCAATTACATGAATCTTTGCAGACAGTATGTGAGGAATATGATTTATTAAAAAGTAATTTTACAACCAAGCGGGCAATAAAATTTTAATTCTTTGTTTCATCAAAGTTAATTATTTGGAATTTTTGATGCCAACAAACAAGGCTCGCTTCGCACCTATATTAAGAGTTCCATCGCACATTTCACATTCAGAATTTGAAACTTCTTCAGAATCTTCCACTCAAAAAATCACTCATTACCTCTTCTGTGAAAGAAATTGTGGACAATTTTTTAGAGAAATTTTTCGAAAAAAATCTTTCCTACAAAAAGAATATGTTCATCAATTACTTGAATAAAAATTTCAAGAATCATGGACTTACGACCGATGAACTATATGATTTCGTCGATTATGTGGCCGAAAATGGAAGCACTGAAAGTGTGGATTGGACTACAAAATTTCGTCTGCTACCGATCGAAAAACAGCATAAAATCATGTTTGATATGCAAAACCTTTATTTTTCAGAAATGCCAAAAAGAAATTCAGTGTTGAGGTTTTCTTATAAAAGAGAATATTTTAGTGGGCGAATTATCCACACAGACCTCTTCTGTAACGCTAATGCTAACATAAACAAATTGAAACTTCCGTTTGTTAAGGAACTTTCTATAAACAAGAGCTGTTGCATTTGTCTAGAAAATTTTAATGAAGGATTATTTGTCATGGAACTACCTTGTAAACATTCACTGCATTTCCACTGTGCTGACGAATGGTTTTTGCATAAGTCTTTATGTCCATATTGCAAGAAATTTGTAGGAGTCATCAAACATAAAGTACGGAAACATCTTTACAAAAATGAAAAAAGAGAAACTGTTGTTTATATTTATGTTAGGACCATGCCTGATAAAGGACCTTGAGAGAGAGACACTTCATTGTCCTACTTTTAACGTTGTTTAATAAAAATATTTTAACGATGTTTTATAAAACAGATATATATTTCGTTTTAACTAATTTATTTCAATCAGTTTATTATCAAAATAAATTTCATGATGATATTATTTAATCGTTTAAGTTTTGTTGACTTGTGAAAAGTAAAATGTTTTAAAATTCTGGTGATTCCATTTAAAATATTTCCTAACAAGACCATATTTGGAAATGTTATTGTTGTAAACTTTGACGCTGGTAAATTACCGACACCAATGTTCTAACTTCAATGATCTCTATATTTCCAACACCAGTGTTGTAGCTTCCAAGGATTGTCAAGTTATTTTATTGTTATACGGTTGGTTCAAGATTTCCGATAGATGAACACAACTGGTTCAAACACAAACTTTGTTGAACGTATATTCGAATACCAACAGCATTAAAAACCATAAACTAACTAATCCAAGTAACTACAGAAATCACATTTAAAACTTTTCTTCAAACCTCGCTGCTGACTTCGCCACCCCTTCTCCTTGTGTTCAAGAGATTCTAACAATCCAAAGATTACAAATATAGGAAAGATAACAGATAATCAAGATTACAATAATTAATTATGTAGCGCAATTCGTCCATCCTGCTGTTATAACATTGTATAACTTAATTTTCGCATAGTCCGTTGTGCTTCAATATTTACAATGTCTTTAGTTAATTATAGAGGGCATAAAAAATAGGAATGGTGGTTGTAAGTTGTTTTCAAATTTTTAATAATGGTAAAAAGTATTGTATTCCTTGCTGCAGTGTGTGAATGAATTAGTGTGTTTTCGTTGATATTGTTTGTCAATTGATATTTGGTTCATAAAATTCAACTTTAATAATATTTTTAATTGTATATCTATTTTAATGATGGAAAAACTACTGCAGACGTGGAAAATGTTTATTTCAATTAGCGAAATTAGATAATCATTGAACTATGTAGGTGTAATATTTTTATTTATTCAAAATAAGATGACAACATGCCAACAAATATTAAATTTGGCGATTTAAATAAAAAGCAAACACGAAAGTAAGAAACTGCATGATAATAAATAAGTTTATGTTGGGCGCTCGGGACGATATGGAAATTCACTAATGCGTTTCAAGAATAGACGGTCATGTTCTAGCTATGTTCGTGTTTGCTTTGACTTCAGCCACATTTCCTTAAATTAAATTTGTAAAATATTAAATTTTAAAATATATTTAATTAAGAAATTATCTCAATAATTAAAAGCCCAAACAATGTTTCAAAACTGTTTGAGGTTGAAAAGAAATTCGTTGTAATTGTAGATCACGGTGTGGGCGATATATTCAGATAATTCAAAAACTTCTTTATTGTTAAATATTCACATATAAATCACATAATTTTATCAAGTACTCATTAAGAAGCAACCATAAACTGAACATTTGCGGATAGGACAGCAAGTGATAACTAGTGTTTGGCATTTTTTCATTGGTCATCTAATGTTTAAAAATGTCTGCCTAACGAATATGAACGAATTAATAACTTTTAATTATAATAGGTCATATATAATAGGTCATCTAAAAATGAAGATAAAAAACGAACCAAAGGAACATGCTTGTCGTCACCAGTTGCAATCAAGTTCTTGTAAACTGAAATATAAAATTTATTTAGTTAATCAACAATTTATAAACTACAATCTTCAAGTGACTTTTAACGTTGGTGTCAACATTGTTCACTTATTAATTTGAAATTATGAATGTTATCAAGATATCAAAAACTCAAAATATTGCATTGGCATTTTTTTATGTTTTATTATAATTTTCCACAAATATGACAGCCGTGTAGAAAAATCAGTAATAAATTTTCAAGTCTATAATTTATTTAATGGAATAAAAAATAGAAGATTGAAGAAAAATTTTAGGTAAGAACCTTCGTAGTCACCGATGATGTCCAAGGCGTGGTAGAAAATGAGAAGCATGCTCACTTTTTCTTCCTGCAAGTTCATGTCGGGGGTGGAGAAAAAGTTGAGGAGGACCATGCTGCTCATCTCGATGTTCCTCACGCTGAAGTTGCTGCTGTGCATTTCATTCTTTATCGTTTGTCTGAAGAGTTTCATGTCAAAGATCTGGTGCGGTGTGATTTGTTGGATGTTAGAAATCAATCAATCAATTAATCAACCAATCAATCAACCAATTAATCAATCAATTAAACAACCAATCAATCAATCAACCAATTAATTAATCAATCAATCAATTAAATTTGCATAGCCTAATTTATAAAAATTCAATTTTTAAAACATTGAAATAAGACTGTAATGTTGAATAAAATGCTACTAAATTGTGAGTATTTAATCTCAAAATAGGCTTACAATAAATTTTCAGTACATATAATTAAATGAATAGATCTTACTCATACATAGCCTCAGTTAGAAGAATATTTGTAAAAAATTATGATTAAAACCGATAAATTAGAAACAGAAAGTTGCATTTGATGACCAACTTTTGCGTTTTTGACGGAGATGGATCGATCGGGGTGGAGGTTGTGCGCGAAGTAAGTGGCCAGGACGCACACACTGGTGCCGCTCGAACGGACGAACACGTCGCCATTGTCCTGTTTCGTGATGTCAAAGTCCTGCAGTGATGAGATAATAATGATGGTGGTTCTAATGATGGTGACGATGATGGTTATTATGATGATGGTTATTATGATGATGGGGATCATGGTGATGGTTGTATTAAAAAAAATTTATTATTTTACTAGCAAACATATTAAAGTCATTATTTTAATCATTAAATATTATCTGTTACTCTTATGGCGTGATTGACTAGTAAAAATAACAACACTTAAATTGAACATTTTAATGGTTAATAAATACATTCTTACAAACCAATAAAAATAACAACACTTAAATTGAACATTTTAATGATTAATAGATACGTTCTTACACTTTTCAACGAATCTAGAACACTGTAGGTACGTGGATTGCTCCATGCAAAGTTCGGCGTCCTCAAGCCAATCCTTTATAAAAAAAAATTTCAATTTTACTAAATTATTTTAAGATAATAGTGAATAAAATACAAATGGGGACGAACAGTTTCCCATCGTACTCCTCCTCACTGTTGTTTATACTCAGCTGAGGTTCCTCGCAGAAGAATTTGCTGATCAGACGGTTGTCATTTTCAAAGAAAAATATTTTCACCCAATCTTCCTTATTCACTTTATGAAAATTTTTGAGAGACTCGTTCAATACATTCTGTGTGTGTGTGTGTTTGTCGATGTATGTGTGGCATGTGTATGTGGCGTTTGTGTGTGTCAGTGTGTTTGTGGCGTTTGTGTGTGTGCGCGTGTTCAATTTGTAATCGATTCACAAAATTTCAATTATATGGAAGATTAGCTGACGAATTGAAACAATGAATGTATTAAAATGTGTTGAATGGTGTTATTAAATAGCTAAGTATTCATTTGTTTGGAGAATATTTTTGAGAACTTCTATTAAAAGGCCTTCGACTGCGGGTTCGATTTCAAAGTTATTTCCGTCTAATGATGTGCTGATGCATTTACGTACGTTGTGTGCAGTCTGCTGCATTGGCATCATCGACGCGGCCGAAAAAATACTTCCACGTTATTCATCAAATCTTATTTATCCAGGCATACATTGATAATAATAATATTAACACCAACTTTGAAAAAACCCGAATTCCTTATTTGCTTCTGGTAAAGTTTGACGGCATTATTTTCTGATTTACTGTGAGTTGGATTTGGTTTGTTATTAATGTTGTGGATGGTGTTTATGTTTTCCCTGTTAACGTTTTCATAAACATTATCATCATCATCATCATTATATTTTTTGTTATCATCGATACATGAAGTAGTTGTAGCAGTAGTAGTAGCTGCTGCACTAGCTTCAGTTTTATTTGACGTCGAGGAGATTCTCTTGTTATTGCCACCGACGTTCACATAATAATTATCATTATCTTCATAGTAGGTGCTATCTTTTCTACCACTGCAATCGACATCAGCGTTGATGCCGCTTGAAGTACTTTTGAATTTCATCTGGCTGAGAGGGTTGCCGGCCCTCCAAGGATTGCTGGCCCTCCAAGCATGCAGAGTTTGCTTGTAACATTTGCGGGCGACGAAACCTCTGATGCTTGCCTGGCATGTGTGTACTCTTCTTTCGTAACGGTTCATCTTTTTGTCCAGCTCGGTACGCTGTTTGTAGCGCAGAAGTACCTGTGGTGGTAGTCAATGGTCACGTGTTTGTGGTCAGCATCTGGCAAGCTCCCATTGGTTGGGTTTTTTTATAATAAATGATGGGGCAAAAAATTAGTGAGTTAGAGTGTTTTCTGAAGAATAAAATAAATAAATGAATAATTAAATAAATTAAAGAATTAACTATTCAGGCGTGAAGGTATTTTTACATTTGATATTTTTTGCTAACATGTTTTCACTTGAGTGTGTGAACAAATAAAAAAAATGCAAGTGTAATAATCTTAAAATACTAAAATAAATACAATAATTAAATACCATTTTTAATGTTTGTTATGAACAATGCACAAGCAAAATAATTAAAAAAAGTTTTCCAGGAAACCTCCAAACCTTATCCTTTCCAATTTTATAATCAGCTACTCCAGCGGATAGCAAAATATTCAAGCAGTTGATGGCTGTTGGCTCCACGTGCGAGTGTAGAGGGAAGTGCAACACCTTGTACCTTCGGGTGTTATTTTATTTGAACATTAATTTTATCCTACCATTTATTGAAATAGTTTTCCAAAATTAAATTATTATTTTTTCCGAAATTAAATTAAATTTGTCTTTTAATTACGTTTCAGAACGCTTATCGGCTGTCATTCCGCCATTTGGATCGATCAAGCAAGCAAGCAAACAAACAAAATTAAATTGAATCACTCTTTCAATATTTCAAATTTAAATTAACATTTTACTTCACAAAATAGACATTTTATTATTTTTTACGTTATAAGACTTTTGTAGATAATTTGTTAGAAAGTAACAAAATAACAATTATCGAAGTTAGCGCATCTTAAATCTAGTCTGATTTTTTCGTTTAATTATAATAAATGAACACACCTTAATTATCAATATGAAAACTTGTTTAATGAAAACAAGACATCTATTTATAACGCATTGATGTTCTGACAATCACCACAGAAAAAGCTGATGATCACATAAGCAGTGGCCATGACGAGACATGCATACGATGCTAGGATTGACGACTTGTATGGAGAACAGAAAAAATTTTTTCGCGACAATTAACCTCTACGTTGTCGAAAGGTTTAATAATTAATAAAAAAAATGATTTATAACTTTGAAACGTTCGTAAAATCTAGACTAATCAGAATAAACAAAATAAAATCTTGGCTAACTTTTGAACAAAATGTGGAAACTCAATGAAGATCATTGGCTTGAGTAGGTACTGGTTGATAGTATGCATAACGTTGAGACTAATCAGTTGGCTCCTCACGAATCCTTCGTCAAATGAATTTACCGACTGCGATCGATTTGGAGTTATGCATCTGACATAATTTTTTTGTCATCATCAATTTTATTATCATTTTATGTGTTGTCGTTGTCATTATTATCATTATATAGTATCATTTTTTATCGATTTATTATATCCCAGTCCTATTATCATCATTGTTAATAATTTTCCATATCGTCAAATAAATTCGATGATTTCCAAAGAATGATGACATTTTAAAGTTTAAGACAAAATAACTTAAAATAAAATTATTTAAATTTTTTATTCATGTTTGTTACTTTTAATAAACTGAACATTAAATTAATGATTCAAGCAAATGTAAACTTCACATGATGAAGAATGTTTCTGTGTTCAGTTTCTTGTCCAATAGGTCCGCCATACACTCCTATATATTCGAAACAATTTTATATTCGTTTCATTTTCTAGCATTAGCAAAATATTTTGAATTTCTTTGAGAATATTCATTTTGAAGTCACTTATTTGTCTACAATTAAAAGAATTTATTGCTAAATAACACTACTGTCCATACTTTTAAAACATCTTTAACCAAATTACAAATATTGTGCAGTGTAAAGCTGCTATATGTTATTATATTTTATTCATGAGTTTCAATTACTACGCTGGTGAAAAACTTTTTTCATTTATACAACGCGGAATGTGAAGGGGTTATAAATATTTTAGGAATTTTGTAATGGTATTTATGAACATGCATAGAATGTTGCTTGTTATTCGTAGATTACGTATATATTCCATATTTTCTTTTCGATTTCCAGATCATTTCTTTTCATTGATATCATTTCTTTGATTTCTTTGTTTTGATTTGATGAAATAAAAAATGTCAAAAATGTCAAAAAATGTCAACTACCTTTGTGAGTGTAGATCTGAATAAGTGTTTGTCCAACTTTGGCAACATGTCACACGGTAAGCCCTTGTGTTTCGTACTTCGAAGGAAAATTTTGAAAGTAAATATGAACAGATAATTAACAATAAAAGGTTAAAAATTTAACACAAAACAGGCAATACTGAATCACGGTGAATAAGTAGTTGTAAAGGTTTTATCATCCAAATGATGTTCAATTTTAATTTAATCGTTGGGTGTAAAAATTATTAAAAGTTATTAGATATATTAATGAATGCTTTGTAACGTTTTTAACAAGAAGCTCTTGACACAAAAAGATTGCATGATTATTTAAATACATAATTAATAAGTTTTAAATACAAAAAATTTAAATGAAAACTGTAAAAAAAGTATTTCAGTTTATGACCTGAGCAACTTATTCTTTTTCTTCTTACTTTCTGGCTTTTTGTGATTCGTTGTTTCAGTTATGAACTGAGATTTCCTGTTTCTCTTCACCGAATCTTTTAGACAACTTCGGGTTTAAAAAACAAATTGGATAAGTAAGTTAAAAAAAAACTAAACATTACCAGCATTCGCGTCGACAACGTCACTAACAACAGCAACAACAACAACAACAACAACAACAGTAACAATAACAACAACAGTAACAGCAACAACAACAGTAACAACAACAACAACAACAGTAACAACAACACCTTATTTCGTCATCCAACTGTTTGCACTGGATGATGTCCGCAATAAACTGACTCTCTGATTTCTTGAAGCAGTCAATGAATTTGTTCTCATATCTGTTCCTGTTTTCTTTGATGAAATCATGCACGGAGTAAGTAACCTGTTTGCGCGTCATAATATCAATCATGTACAAACGATCGTACACTGAATCCTGGCAAATCGTTTTAAAAGTTACTCAATTATTTTAACGTATTCTTATTAAGATCAAAGATTTGTGGTTCTAAAATTAAAAATGGTTATTGAAATTTGATGGATAATTATTTTTACAACAATTTTTTTATAAAATCATTCTGAAATAATCGCTCAAGTTATAAAAACATCACCAAGTTTATGGATATTTGAACAGCTAATAAACATTTCAGCAAAGACTACTTGGTAGTTCATAAAGGGAAGTATCTTTCCAGTAAAACAATAACTTTTGAACGACAACAGAAAAATAATGCAAACTGCAACAGCGTAATTATGACATTGCAAACAACCACACAAGCGACAACCACACAAGCGACAACCACACAAGCGACAACCACACAAGCGACAATCACACAAACGACAACCACACAAACGACAACCACATAATCTAACGTTTGATATTGTATGGTTAACACTGAACAACAAAGTGTGTTCCTTCACAATGTTCAATTCGTTCCTGTTGCTCAGTCGTTGGTCAAATTTTTGGATGAGCTGGAGATCTGATGATGTCTCGTCTAGGCTTTCTTCGTTCAAAACGTTCAGGAGTAGGCCAGGCTGACGATGATCAGTTTTAAAATTGAAAGTAACTTCACTCAACTTGGAATAATTTAAATAAGCCTTTTAATAACGTTATTTATAATGGGTAACGCTTTGAAAAACATGACATATCTGTAAGAGTTTAAAACATTGTTTAATAAATGTTAACTAATAAATAATATTTTTATGACAACATTTTATTAACACGGTAAAGGTTTAACTACATATATTTAGATTTTTATGAATCTACAAAACTATGAAAACTTTCAATCACAACTTTTTGTAATAACAAATTTAAAAAAGCAAACAAAATTACAAAAACCAAAAATTAAAATCAGAAAAATTAACATTGACTAGGAGTTCCATAACTTTATTATTGTCTGTGTAGCGACCGACTGGGTAGGTTGCATCGCCTGTCTGGACTCTGTAGTCTTCACATGGCTGCCTAAAGACAATTTTGTTGTAGTGGTAGAGCATCTGTTCGTTGAAGAAGTTGATCTGCAACTGCTGCCAGTGGTTGCCGAACTTCTGGTTGTCTTCAAAACCAGACCCGTCCAGCATTGATATTCGGTTGTATTGAGAAGTTCTGAAAAGTTTGATGTGTAAAAAATTGTTCAAGCCTCTTGTTAAGAAATCAACTTCATAAAATCATATTTGGAAACTTTCAGGAAATTTATCATTTATAAAGCAGCAAACGATATATCAGGAATCCAACCTCATAATTTTGGGGAAGAGGACTCTATTGATGTTGAATACGATCCAGTTGACCAGCTTCTCATAAAGGTCAGCAACGAGTGCATCGTTACATTGCATCACATCGTCCATGCTCCGCAGTGTACACACCTTCTCGCCTTAATTTGGATTTCCGAAAAACATACGTACATAAAGCGACAGAGGTCATAAAATAATTTCTACAAAAACTTATTAATCCGAACATATCAAACTTTCATAAAACCAACTTTTTCTGTACACTGGAAACAGCAATGGGCGGCGATGAAATATTTCAAAAATAATCCAAGTTTAACTAAATAATTTAGAGACAATAATTTGATGGAGTTTATTTTCAAATGGTTTTCAATAAATTTGTTTAAGAAATCTATAAAAAACTGTTATATCTAAAAATCCACCGAACCTTTAACGGTGATCTCAAATGTAAGGAGGTAGCCAGCTAAAACGTCGACGTTGAGACCAAGCATGTGAGATGCTGTGTTTCAAAGTTTATTTAATTTAAATGTTAAAACGGTCACAACTAATCTTACCCCATAATTACGGAATATCGTTTTCTCGAAATTTATGACCAAACTCTGCTATTCTTATGCCAAGAATGCAATATTATATTATTGTATGCTAAATAATGTGGTTCTTATTTGAAAAAGTTATTTTAACACATAGTAGTTAAAGTGTGGGCAAGCTTAACAAAAAATGCTAAAAGTAATTGGTTCACAAAATTAAGAGATCTACCGGATATTATATTTTTCATAGTTACAAAATTAAAAATTTCATGATATTTAACAAGTATTGCATAAAGAAGCCCGACAATCATAAATAACTAATAACAGCAAGACCATATTATCATCATCGTCATCAGATAAACTTTAAACCAGTGTCTAAGATCTCTTCGTTGGAGACACCAACGCCATCGATGTCATGGTCGTGGATGAAATGAAGGTCCTTCAAATGCAGTATGCCCGTCAAGACCGCAAGTACGCTGCCTCGCTCCTGACCCCATCGTTCAATTTGTTAAGAGAAGAGCATTTGAAATGTATCAATGCACTGACATCTAATAAACTATTTTTAACGTACAAATGATCTTAAAATAATACAATAAAATTAATTTTTTAGGATAAGTTTTTTTTTTAAATTGAAATATTTCATACACGAACCTCTGGAATGAAGCCAAACAGGTTGAGATAATCGTTAAATTTGCCCCACTTTTGCTTGCAAGCCTTCAAGTATGACGGGTCTTTGAATATCTCACTACCATCAGTCAACATCACAAGTCTTCGTGGTCGTCGGTTAATTTATTTAATTAACTAATTAAAACTTGCTTAATTCAATAAAAATTTCATTATATAGAATAAATAAAGTAAATTATAATATAATTAGATATATAATAATAATATAAGTAAATTAATATAAAAAGATAAAAGAATGCGGTAAAAATAACTTGTGTTTATCAGGATTGTCCAATAGATTGAGTTTACGTTCTTTGTCACTGAGGCCAGCAAGCATGTAATAGAGGATGTGGAAGTTTCTTTCGTTCGTTTGAAGCTGACTCAACCGGCTCTTGTCCAACATATAAAACGAGAAGAATGCTGGAATTGTCGCCAGTGTTAGTGTTTCGTTAGGAAACACTTATAATAATAACAACGATTAAAAATTCAATGTAACTCTTATCTTAATTTTATTAGTGAATTTACCTAAGCAAAATTAAAAAGAACAAAAAAAAGAGTTACTAGATATAATAAAATATTATCAGTATCTGAAATATAAAAGAAATGTTAAGTAGATAAGAGAGAAGATGGACGTGAAGAAAAAGCAATTGTATGGACCTCCTTCACATATGCCACTACTGCTGACGAACATCTGGATCAACTTGGCACAACGTGTACTGTTCACATTAAGGTTCGTTTTCGCGTTCAGGAACATATCCATAAACGAGCCGACCTTATAAATTATTTGCATTTTTCAGTATTTTAAAACTGTAAATTTTTGTATATAACACGAACATTTTCATTTGAAAATGGCGCAAAATTTGTGGCTACTTGTACTTTTTTGAAAATTTAAACCACTTTTGCTGTTTGCGTTGTTTGCGACTTGGCGAGTGCATTGTGTAAAAATTATCAGTGATTGACGGCTGTAGCATTACATGGCAGTCTGTTCGTAATGAGGAAACCTCGACAACATGATAAACGTTCATGATGTGAACTATGAAATAACTTCGGCAACGAATGTAAGAATTAAAATGATAAAGAAATTATTATTAGCAAAACATTTAACTAACATTTAACAACACGCATTGATCAAAAAGAACTAACTGCGGAAAGTTTTTGGAACATATCATTGCTTCTCGTTTTCTTACAGGTCAGTTCAGCTAAACTCTGTACTAACAATTGACAGCAAACAGATTTCCCTATGAAATTTTTTTGAAAATGTTATTTATTATTCCGTGAGTGTTTAGATTTAATTAATTAATTAATTAATTAATTATCATGAGATCGAGAGATAAGAGATTCGTTGATCACACTTTCCATAACGAGACAGTATCAAACAAGTTTTCTTCAATCCATCCGACCGAGGTAAGACGTGTTTTCAACAAATTAAACTATTGATAAATCACATTTTAAATTTTTTACTTCAAAATTTATCAATTTTTTTTTGGAAAAATTGTTAAAGACCTGATCCAGAAATGCCGTATGGTATAACAGTCTGATTGTTTCCCTTTTTCATCAATGTCGTGAAGATTTCGTAACCAGTTGCATAAATATGTGCGGGTAGGTTGTGGGCGGCTTGCGTGTTGAAATAATTCTGTGCCACCTAAATTAATTAACATTTATTCATCAGTACACTACTTATTTACTGAATATATACAGTTTTTATGTTCTTAGTTGGCCATAGACAGCATCATTGTTTAAAAATATCTGCATTACTTTAAAAGAAACCGCTGTAGCACACGGCCCAAATGACCATATTCGGGAGTGTTTCACCAAACAGACTCCAGTACAAATATCTGTTTATCTTGTCAATCATATCCACCGTGTTTAATTTACACAGGATGCAAAAAAATGTGCAAATTTTTGAAATTCCCGTCGAACAATTTAGGTATTTATGTTTTTTTTTCGATATTAAATTTTGTTAAAAGTTTGTTATTCTTTTTAAAATGCATTTCATGTTTTTCTCAATAATAGACCGGTCAAAACATTTACGAAATGATTCTATAAAATAAAAATGTTGTATAATCAAAGCTATGGGAATAATTTAGTTGGCAAAATTTAGTTTTTTAATTTAGAAATTTAATTTAGTTGACTGAAACTGAAATTTACTTATTTCCATCACATTTATCATCAATTTGCAAATTCATGAGATTGGAAAAAAAGCAATGTGACAACTAACTTCACTGGAATACACCTCCAAATCTTTCAAAGTGTTCAACGACAATAAAATGTTTCCAATATAAGTCTGCAATTTTTAGAAAACAAATTTTCAACAGATATAATTTTACAAAAAAATAGTAGAAAGGATATTTACAAATTTTTGTCCTTCATTGAATTTTTCTAGTTGGTTTTTGCACAGTGAATCAATGTCGAGATTGGCCGAATCCAAGAGATCCTTAACGTCTGACATGCTGGATGTGGAAGGTTTGTTACTGCAGTTTGTGATAACTATCCAGCAACCATCATTCCATCATCTCCTGCTGTCTTTCCATGTGTTTATGCTGTTTATTGTGAATTTATAAAAGAAACAATTAACTTATAACTTCAATCTGAAATTATCAACTTTGTTTAACATGATTTTTTATGAGCACCGAAATTTTCAAATTGTACCATCCACGTAAGTATTTTATTATTAAAACCTGTATTAGTATAACCTTGTTTAAAAGAAAAAGATTTTTTAAATAAACTAAATTTAAAATAACTAGGATAAACTTCCTTCCATTTACTTCCTTATAGTTACTTAAACACAAGATGTTTTTATTTGTCATTGAATGATTGTATATATATATTTAACATATATATCAGTATATATTTTGGTAGACTTTATAAAACATCGCATATATATATACGTTTGCCTTTGTGTGTATATGTGTGTGCATGTTCATTCATGTGAAACCAATTAATATTACATTTATCCATGTCAATATTTGTCTTTATTTTGTCATGTGTTTTACATTGTTCAATTATTAAAAACAAATATCACTCCTTCATTCAAATTAGAATAAAATTAAGTTGTAAAATTCGTAATAATCTTTCTTCATTAAAGTTGTATATTTACGATCTTATCTCCAATCAATTTATTTTTTTATATAATTTCTTTGCTTTTTCGTTTCTTTGTTTGCTTCCTTCTTTATTTTTTTTTTTTACAATGGGCGCGTTGGTATATAAATGATGCCTGATGAATCCGTTTCGATTTGAATCGCCTGTTGACTTTTTCCTCGTCGAGAATTAAATAAATTCCCGTTTCTCGCGCAAGTGTCGTCATTTATTCATTTGTTTCTCTCAAAGTTATTCTAGTATTCTAGTTCAATTTTTGATTTGCAATCAATCTCAATCCGATTGGGTCACAATGGTTGACAGTGATGACGAATACGAAAGAAGGAATCGTGATAAGTTCCGTCATGAAAGAAATGATTATGATCAGAGGGATGATCGTAGAGGGAGAGATCAAACTAAGTTAGACATTTTTTAACAAATTTCATATGTCCTACTTGCTATGTTATTGTACCTAATTTGGAATGGACCAGGTGGCGGCTGCATACCAAACTGAGATATTGCCCTTATATAGCTATTTTTACTGTTTTATTATTTTTTCGTTAGTGAAGCTAGACTAATGAACTAATCTTATTATAATTTTTTTTTTAATTATAATTATGAGTTTATGACTTTTTTACTTTGGATCATTTATTCTGTGTTTTTATTATTTTTCCTTCAATTTCCTTTTTTTATTTTATTTCTCAAATTTTTCGTGAAATTTTCGGGTCATTCTTTCAAATTTAACAAACTTGTTCACCCATAAAGTAATTCACGCTGTGTCTTTATTTTTCATTGCATCAGATCAAATTGGACGAAGCAGTCGAGGGACAGAAGAGACAATGACAGAAACCATAGAGATCGCAGAAGTCCACCAAGAAATGATTCCAGTCCCCAAGTCAAGAGATTAAGAAGAGATTGGTCAGTACATAATTAATTGTCATGTTTAATATGGCACAAGTTTTTATGTATTGTAATTTTGTTTAATTTCGATTTAACAACTATTTGTTTTATAACTTTGATTAAAGGGATGACGGTTATCACCATTATGAGGGACATTATGGACCTCGTTTGCATGGACCACCCCCTCCCATATGGAATCCCACCTCTCCACCTGAAGTACCTCATCCTCATGCGAACACTGCTCCTAAAGTGTTAGTTTTGGTGATATATTTTCTCCATTAGTATCTCTAGTGATAAAAAATTATGTTTGTTACGGTTTTTCAAATTATACTATATGAGTTCCTAATTGGTTTGATGTGCATTGAACCATGTTTTCACTGATATAATTTCTATAGTCTAATAATATGTTTCTTTGTGTATCTGAATGGGCAACTTGATGGCTTAATGGTTAAAAGCTGTTGTAGTGACTGGGTTCAAGAAGAAGAAGAAATCACTGCTTATCATATGCAATGCTTACGATACACACGTATTCATATATTCTGTATGTTTTTTCTTTGATACCTCTGTATCAAGTGCAAAAGAGAGAATGACCATTAGCTTTTTAAATCTTTTCAAATATTTTAGCTAACAAGAATGATTTTTTTATGATAGTATATAGAAATACTTGTTCAAATGTATGTGTACCCCATTTGCTTTAACAAGAATCTGATGTTAAATATTCTAATCCAATAAACTAAAAAACCTATCACATGGCTTATGGTAACTTTCACAAAGGCCTGAAGTTGACTACCCGACCCAGCCACCAATGATGTCATTCAAGCACTTCCTGGCCACACAGGATGACAACATCACCGATGAGGAGAGCATAAGAATGTACAACGATTACAAGATGGACTTCAAGAAGGAACAGATCAAGGAATTCTTTGTTCAACATAAAGATGAGGAATGGTCAGTTTAATATAATTTTTAAATCAATTATTGATGTTTTAAAATTTACAATGATCTATATCATTTGTATTTATATTGATTGTGATTTAATTGAATTTTTAATGCCGATGATTTTGATGAAACCTTGAAAGGCAGGTGTCTAATATGCTGGTTTATTGGGAAACATTGGAAATTTCCTAGACTTAAATGTCCATTTTTTGAGCTTTTTAATTAATTTTGAGCATCCTCGAAAATTAGGGTAGTGAGGCCTCTATTGTTTATAAATTAATTTATATAAATATATATATAACCAACTGAACACCACGGACATTGTTCATTTGATGCCAGTCTGGTCGGTTATTAATATTTCATTTATCTGTAAATCATTAATTTTTATTTGTATGCAGCTGATAAGATAAATACTGTTATCTTAGCGTATTTCATTCAAAGTAACAGGGAAATGCATGACACATAGAATGGTATTAATGATGTTTTTTAAATTGTTAGGTTCCGATCAAAGTACCATCCAGATGAATACAATTTGAGGCAGGAGGAGATGAAGGCGTCATTGAAGAAGAGGTGCAGTGTTTTCAAGAAGCTCATGCAGTTGAACATCGTGCCGTCGGTTTTGTTGGATATGACATGCACATCTGAGCTAATCAAACTGCTTGATTCTGGTTAGTCAACTGATTCATACTGCTGTCTGTTTTAAAAAAAATTTTCAATAGCTGAAGAGAAATGTTTATTGGAAGCGTGTAGCCTACCAAATATCGTTATTAGATATTGGAATTAGATTTTACTAATTTATTTTTTTTAGTTAAATGTACTTGCAAATGACAGAGTGGATAATTTTTAATTACATAAATAATTTTTACAGCTGTAATCTTAATGGAAGATGGAACAGAATTTGACTTGAGTGTACTTGGCAGCCCTGATGAAGCATGTGAAGCATCCACTCCAGCTGCAACTGCTGTTCCTAAGAACAACATCGAAAAAACCGTTAAGATAGAGAACAAGGACAGCCAGGAAAAGTCAGTTTTTGTGATATTTCTATTTCTGCTATTAAGTTTATTGCTATCATCATTGTTATTTAACATTAATTATATTTCTGAATGTTTTTAATGTTTTGATTTTTATCTACAGATCAGAAACAGAGGAGTGCAAAGAGGTTGAAGTGAAAAAGGAATCTTCTGAGAAAACGCCAGCTGATTCAGGGAAAGATATTGAGGTATTTGATCTAACTAAATTTTTGAAGACATGTATGCTGTGTGTTTAAATGGATATATATGTTTTGCAAATGACTAAAAGTGTATTGATTGGTGGCATGGTTTGAAAGTCTATCTAACAACAGTAACTCATGTATCTAAATGCCCATTCATTATAATCTAAGGTGAAAAAGGAGCTGAAGAAAAAGAAATTAAACAGTGACGACAAGAAAGGTGGTGATGAAGAAGAGGAGGATGGGAGTATTGGTAGTGAGGCTAGTGATGAAGAGGATGTTGATAAAGAGAAATCAGATGTAAAGATGGAAGAAGATACATCAAAGAAAACTGATGAAGGTTTGTGTCACAATTTCTCTTTCATGTGATTATCTTTTTGCATCATTATCATCATTTCTGGTGACTGATTATTATCATTCTCTAAAATTATTGTTCAATTACAGAAGCAGAAACGCCAATGGATGTTTCCGAGGAGAAGCCGAGAGCCCTGCATAAAACACAATCCATCTTTCTACGCAACCTCATCCCAACCATCACTAAGCAAGAAGTTGAAGCTGTATGTTTTAACATTTTTCTTTCACTTTCATGAATTTTATTTTTTCTACTTATTTCAATTTTGTAAAATTTGTGTGATTCAATTGGCTTGCTATTCATTGTAAATTGTGCATGTACACCGCTCTAAATGGTGTTTGTCATGATTAGTTGAAATGATGCTTATATGCAATTGATTTTAATTGATCCTGACGTGCAGATGTGCAGGAGGTACCCCGGCTACATGAGAGTCAGCATACAAGATCCACAACCTGAACGACGATTTGCAAGGAGAGGTTGGATCACCTTCGACAGAACTGTCAATGTCAAGGACATTTGTTGGAACCTCAACAACATTCGGGTTAGTTGGCTTCTATGGATAATGTAGTCTATTTTTTCTCTTTCTGTTATATTCTTACAAGAAAATCTTTGAAAATCAAGTCTCCATCTTTGTGCCGTACTTTAAGAAATTGCTGTTTGAGTGCATGTGTACAGTATTGAACAGTTTTTCCTTCAGATTAAAATTTTAATGCTCCTTCTAATTATCTCTTGCTGTTCTGCTTCTATTAATTACCCTAATTAACTTGTGCACTTCAAACCAGTTGCGAGATTGTGACATGGGAGCCATAGTGAACAGAGAACTTCGTCAGAGGGTGCGTCCTGTAAATGGTCTGACAGTTCACAAGGCAGTTGCTCGCCAAGATATCAAACACGCTGCCAAGATCATCCAGACCCTGGACAACAGATGGAACATGTGGTGTGATAATGAAGGTGACAAATCTGACAAAGAAAATTTTGTTAGTTCATTTTTGTTTTTTCTTTTTAAGTTGTTATTTTTAATCAAAATATGCTAATATCATTCAAATTTTTATTCACATAGGCAAATATTCTGAGTGTTTATATTTAATGATAAGCTATATTGTGCATGATGTTAAATGTGTTTAAAAACAATGTGTTTTATAAAAAATTACCAGGGATTTGTAACGAACAACCCAGTGTTGAAAAACATTACTGATTTTCTCGTCGATGAAGTTGATTATGAGGATGAACTTCTAGGTTTGTTTGTTTGTTCACTCGTTTGCTTGTTTGTTTGCTCATTTGTTTTCAATCTAACACGTTTGTTTCGTTAGTGAGAACATTGTTTTTAATTTTATTTGTTTCAAACTTTCTTATTGTTTGTACGTGCCATTGCGTTAATTATGCTACTAGAATTATATGGTGGACAAATAATCTTTGTTACCATTTTTATTTTTTCTGTCCAAATATATCCTCATGTGCAGATTCTTCAATCGCTGATTTTTTTTATGTTTGATAATGAAAAATAAGTATTTATTGACTGCAATTGTACAGGTTCAGAAGCAGTAAAAGATAAGGATGGCAACTCAGAGATAAGCATAGATAGAGATGACGAGCTGTTGAAAGTTTTGGACAAGATGTTACTCTATCTGAGAATTGTATACTCCATTGATTTCTATGGAGCTTTTGAATACCCAAATGAGGATGAAATGCCCCACAGGTGTGGCATCATTCACGCCAGGGGGCTCAATACTGTGGCCAAGATCACGCAAACAGACGGTTGGTGTGGTGTTTATTGTTCTCTCTTCTTGTTTGCTCATTTGAAATTCTGTGCTATTGTGATGTTTTGGACATACGTTCAAGTTGTTATCAAAACTAAATAAATCTACAGTGACAGAATGGATGACATCATTTGAGAGCAAGATAGCTCCATTTCTCAATCCAAAGTTTCAACTGGAAGAAACAGAGGCCACGAAGTTGGGACTGAAAAAAGAGGAAGAGGAGGTGGAGAAGTTTATTGTATCCAACATGCAGGAACTTGGAAAGGACAAATGGTTGTGTCCATTGTCTGGCAAAAAGTTCAAGGGACCCGAGTTTGTAAGGAAACACATTCTAAGCAAACACATGGAGAAAATTGAGGAAGTAAAGAAAGAGGTTAGTCTCAGGCATGGATTTTGGTGATACGATTTTCGCTTGTCGTGAAAGTGGTTAATTATCCTTCCTTAATTATCATTTATAAGATTAATATCAAACATTGCAGGTATCTTATTTCAACAACTATCTTAATGATCCTCGTCGCCTGCAACTGCCTGAACACCCATCAGCCAAGCACGTTCCCAACCCAGTGCCCCCTCCAATGATGCCAGGATTCATTGCACCTCATCCCTTTTACAGGCCACCTCCTGTTTATCCTGGTTTGTTTCATTTTTTTTGACAATCATATTTTACCACTTATTTTTTCTAATTTTTCCTGCAAACATTGAGATAATATTGGAAAGTGGATAAGGTTTAATTTGTGTTAATGTGGTGTCTTCATTGGTTGATAAATTTATTGGTGTAGTTTTATGTTAGAAATGAATGTTATACACCAAACTTGAGTTTAATTTAATTTTGAACGTTGGCAGCTGTTTACCCAGCTCCGTTTCCTATGAGGTCCTTGGACAGTTACAGAGCTGATTTCAGAAGGGATGCAGCTGCTATGCCGAGAAGAGACAAGTTCGTTTATTTTTCTAGTTCATTCTGTTTTTAGATGTCTTATATATTCCTTTTTTCACTTCATTTATTGATCACACACAACTAAAGTTTGAATGTAAATTTACAGAGTACGTTCTGATCCAAGGTCTGTGGTTAGCTATACGGATCTCGATGCTCCTCCAGATGTCGATTGATCGTTTAAGAGAACGTTACATTACATTCTTTTAGGTCTTGTTCGTTATTAAATGCAGATAGTCATCACAATGCCAGGCTGGCAAATTAGTTAATTTAATGATTGATAAATATCTTTTGGAAGGGTTTTTGAACAATTGTTAATGACAGTTCCTCTGAATTTTATTTCATTGTACATAGTAAGTACATTTGACTTAAGATGCTGTTGTAATGCGATGGAAATATTTTTTCAGAGCTCCTCTCTTAAGAAATTATATGTGAAATGCTTTACTGATTTTTAAATAATAGTGATATGATTGTCTATTACGTCAATAAAAATAATTAACTTTGTTAGATTGTTGATAAATAATGTCACAAATTTAAAATCTTTGTTTCATGCTTTCATCGAAATTTAAATTTTATCAAAAACAACTTTCCATTTAAAAATAAACGGTTGTTGGAGTAAAGTTGCAAACTTATCTTGCTGGCATGTATTTAAATCTTGAAATAAAAATTTGACGTATTCGTGTCTAAGCGTCTATATGTTTGGGTGTGATTTTAACGTTCCATTCTCGACTTCTGAACATGCACATTTTCCTCTTGCTAGGGATTTGATTATGTTTACGTTTAAGTGCATGCGCCTGCATTCCTAATTTCACCTATTTCTTCGTGTATGTAGGGGTGGTCAGATATTCAGGCCTTAATTCTTCTAAATTACTTGATTGCCAAGAAACCAAACGATTCGATGCAGCGAATAATAACGATGTGTTAACGATGTTTAAATTTGGTAAAAAAGCGTTCTACTGATTAGCCGATTAACTAAGAACGTGATTCATTTTCTTGTTAGTTGATCAAAGATGTTTGTTTATTAACGTATTACAAGCAGTGGTTTTGTCGACATGTGCAGTGGCCGGTTAAGGAGGGGATCTGGAATGGTTCCATTTATCATCACTTTAGCCACGATTTTTGCAAACTGTTTTGAATCTCGGCCAACTTTTATTGTTTAATTACTTTTTTCAGCAGTAATACTACATTATGTTAAAAAGTTCTGCTTGAAATGGTAAAATTGGTCTAAAAATTGTGCAACCAAAAAGGCCCTTAACTTTTTCAATTTTTCCAGTCAAAGTTGTCTAAATCCGCCCCTGGACAGTTCCTCATGTGCGGTGTGAGTTGATATATAGAGCGTTAAACATTTAGAATTGTTCCAGTTTGATTTCGTAATCTGTAAAATGAAAACATTTTTGTGTTTCTGTCTTCAATTGCGATTTTTTTAATAACACGGAGCAATGAACAACTCAGTTAAACTGACTGCTTCACGGAATATTACAATAAAAAGTTATAAATGATAAGAATGTTTCAATAAAAAACAACAATATGTCAATATAAATAAATTTATATACATACGTATTGCACATATAATATTACATTGCTAACTAGTAAAAAAACAATTATAAAATTAAAAATCCAATAAATAAAATAATTATGTATAAAATTTCACATTCAAATATTTATTAGAAAACAGTTAATAAACAAAGACACTGCTTCACTTTAAAACAATCGTACATTTTACAACTTAGAAAAATAAGTTCACATGCTCAATGCCTGTTCGTATATATATAAGGTTGAATCAGATGTGCTATTAATATTCAACAAAATGTCAAGCATTTTCACGATATTCATACTTCATAACAACTTAACAAAATGCAAGCAAGATGATGCCAATATCTCAAAAATGTTTCGGTTCTAGGAAAGAGTGGAATCATCGTTTACGTTTTATTTTCCTCTGGTTTTGTTCCGAAAAAAATTACATATTTTATTTTTTGTGTTATTGATGCACTTTTTAAATTTTGTCTCGTTTGTTTCTTTCGGTTGTTTGGCGAGTTTTAATGTCTTGTCAGCTTTCTTTTGCTTAGATCGGCTTCGTTTAAGTGCAAAACGAAAAAGTTTGTTGTTTATAAAAAATTGTTTAAATCGATTAACATGTTGAGAGTTGTTGTAAATAGAATGTTTTTCAATCTGAACGAAGTTACTAATGTCACACATCGGATTTTTACTGTTTTCACTCGCCTCCATGCACGGACGGTAAACAGCTGGCTCCTCTACATCAGATCGGTTCTTCTCAGTTACAAAAGCAGAGAGATTAAAAAATGATCTGATCTCGGAAACTGAGTCTCTTCTGTCCAGCAAGGAAAAATCCAAGCTCTCCGTGCTTGTTAAAGTACGGAAAATTTCAAAATTGTTGCTCGAATTAGAAGTGGTTGTGGATGTTCGTTCCGTTGATGACCAAATTGAAGTATTTACCGAATCGTTAGATGGATTTATACGAGACTCAGAGCTCTCTATAGCCGAAACGGTCCAAGACGATAAAAACGAGTTGAAATTGTTTGTTGCTAGATCGTTGCATATGTAAAAACTTTTCCCTATCCCCGTTATGTCGAACAATGATGAATTAAGTGAATCTTCATCTTCAATCCAATTTTCATCTTTCCTCGTCTCTTCCAGTGATTCCGACAATTCAAGATCTGAAGTTGAAATATGTAAATGTTTGAAGAATCCGTCTTGTGGTTTGTTAATGTTGAAGTTGTTGAACACGGATATATCCTCCGTAGCAAGATCCATGTTTGTTTTCATTAAGTTCAAACTGTTTTTCTACAAATTTTGCAGGTATTTGTTGAGTCAATCAAACAGGTTAGTTTATGGTTAAACTGGTTAAAATATCAATATGTGGTTGGAAATTTTCAAAAAAAAATTAAATTTCCTGACGAAATAAAATTTTATCGGATAACTAATTTACTTAATCAATAAAATCAAGATTCATGCAGCACTTAATACATTTCTTACAGTGCCTTTAAATTTCGCGGTAATGAAGCCGAGAGCTACAAACTGTTATTTATCAAGTTAATCGTTTAAATCATTTCTTTAATATCAGGAAACCTTCCGACAAATTAACTTTTTCAACTTAACGACATTAAAAATTTCAAAGATAGGCTATTTATTATTTCTAAAATCTAGATTTTTTCAACGAAACTTACAAATAAACAAATACAACACACAAACTTCTCAAATAGCAATTTCATTAGTAAGGTTACAGATATCTACATTATCCAAAGCAAGTAGTAAAACATTGAAATATGGCCGGGAAAATGTAATAAGTCTGGAGTGTGCATGAATGTATAATATATCATGTTGATACTATTGGTTGGATATTAATTACAATTCATTTTTCTATGCGTGCCACTTGAACCTAAACTGCTTGAATATCCCAACATTAATTATAAAACAATTGTGACGTCATTTCCGCTCTAGCTTCCAGTAGAGTTTATAAATAAATATATTAAAATTAATTATAAGGCGATAGAGCAAAATAAGTATAAACCATGATATGTATTATAAGCTTGATCTTAAGAAGCATCGATTTTAGTTGTTCTGTCACGGCAAAGTCTAACTCTTACTTCTACATAATAATATTGTATAATATATATATATATATATATATATATATATATATATATATATATATAATTATTAAAAAATTTTTTCTTAATCAGCAAATGTGTCAGCAGACGATATAACGGTTATATAAATAATAGGTTGTGTACGTATAGTTTATTAATATATTTATTGTTGAAATAAGAAATAGATTGATTTTTCAGTGTTAAACGTTTCATTAAAAGTTCTATGAGATACAGTGAGCCGCTTTATTTTAAGGACAAAAAACTATAAAAAAGATTATGTAATTAAGTAATTTTTTTATATCGTTTTAACATTAATTCACTGAGTTAATATTTTGTCTTGTTCCCCTCTCTCTCTATCTCTCTCTCTCCCTTCCTCTCTCTCTCTCTCTCTCTCTCTCTCTCTCTCTCTCTCTCTCTTTCTGCTGATATGCTATGAAGCTCTTATACCAGATTCAATAAAAAAACTGCAAACTATTGTTCCAAACTGGTGTTTGAAAGTGAAAGGAAAGGCTTGCAAATTAACGTCAACATAACAGAAAGCATAGTTATAAGTAAAAGCAAAACCGCCCCGATCTGCTCCATAATCATTAACGGTAAACAGGTGAAACAAGTCAACAGCTTCGATTATCTCGGAAGTCTGATAACCTCCTCAGGTTGTAAATGTGATGTGGATATCAAAAAAAGCATAGCTATGGCGAAAGATGCATATTTTAAAATGAAAAACATTCTCACCAATATTAAAATCAGAATATCAACAAAATTAAAACTGTTATGGTGTTACATTTTTCCTGTGCTAACTTACGGCTCTGAGACAATTTCTAAAGAAATGGAAAAAAAAGATTAAGGCTGCTATGATGTGGTTTTTGAGAAGCCTTATAAAAATTAGTTGGACTTCTCATACTTCGAACGAGGATGTATTAAAACAGTTCGGTTATGAAAAGAGAAAATTACTACAGATAATCCGACGGGGCAGTTAAAGTTTTTTGGTCACACCATGCGGAAGGAAAGAATGGAAGATCTAACAACTACTGGAAAGATTGCAGGGAAAAGAGATCGCGGTCAACAACAAATAACATTCTTGAAATCCTTGTTTCACTTGTCACTTGTTCACTTGTTTTAACATTATATAATGTTAACATTATATAATGTTAAGACATATATAATATATGTTACATAATGTTAAGATATATATATATATATATATATATATATATATATATATATATATATATATATCGAATGAATACGTGGCAAAGACTGTCACAGACCATATTACGCCAATTTTAAACAGCCTCCACTGTCTACCTATTCATAAGAGAATTATTTTTAAAATTGCTGTTATGGTTTTTAGATGTCTGAACAATTTGGCACCCAAATATTTGGCCGATAGATGTTTGCAAACAAAGGAGGTTTTGAGTGACTATGATTTGGGATCAAGTAGTGCTAATACGTTGGTCACGACTGTGATCAAGCTTAAGATTGGTTCGCGTAATTTCTCTGTAAGTGGTTCAGCTGTTTTGAATACTCTTTCTTGTTGCTTGCGTCAAACTGGATTATCACTGGGTCAGTTCAAGAGGGAACTTAAAACACACTTGTTTCGAATCTGAATTGTAAAAACTTGCTTCTTTTATAAAGCTGTGACAGCGCCTATGAAAACACAGTAAGTGTTATAATCGTAGCTTTATAAGTTTCCAAATAATAATAATAATAATATTATTAATATACATACATGGCTCTATATGATAAAACTCTAGCTACATAAAACTGGAATTTTCTTGGGAATTTCCACAAAATATGCGTCGTAAGGAAAGAAATGCGTCGGGAGGAAAAGCTGTTTAAACAGGCAATGTCGGAGATAAATCGTTTGAGTTTCCCTTGTTATTGAACCAGATTAATGTAACCGAAATTAGTAAAGATATGCTTATTAACAGAATGGCTGCAAAATCAGAAATTTTGAGACTTCAAACGGAGGATGAGAAAGAATCAAATAAATCAGAAATAATTCTTCTAAGTGTTGCATCAAACGTGATATCACGCTACACAGCATTAGTTGGTGTAGACAAAGTTAAAAATGAAGTCGTCGTCGAAGATATGGTCACCTGTCTCGTGCCAATCATATACGATTATATTTTTAATTATTCACAGGCATGGAATTTGGATTTGAAAAATGCTATGTTTCTCAAAGAATATTGTTTGGATTCGGACCTTGGGAAGCGTTGTTTAAAATCTAATACTAAAAGTTTACTAAGGTTTACATCCAAAAAAGCATGTAGAATATATTCGAAGTCAGTACGTTCCACATCAAATTTCACTCCAGTTAACCCTAACCTTTCTATTACTGATGACAATAATAATTTTAGTAATAATAATAACGCTAACGATGATAATAATAATAATAATAATAATAGGCTGGTGATGAAAAAAACTGATCCATTCAAAAAAATGGAACAAGTTGATGACAATTTAATTAATCTGGTTTCCTCACAAACGTTTGATGGATTTTGGATTTTATCTGACGGGCTTTGTAAAAAAATGAATTTAGATTTTCTCTCTATGATTTCAAAATCATTAATTAAAGATTTAAATGTTTGGGATACTGTTCTAGTATTGGAATTTTTCAAAAAAAAATTTTCAAACAGAAAAGATGAATGGGAATTGATTGAAACAAAAGCGTTAAATTGGCTCTCCCAGCAATATTTGAATGGCAAAACTGAGCAAGAATTATTGGATGCCGCCAAAAACGTTCTGACTTCGAATGAAGAAATATGTCTTATTCATCAAAACATACATGCATATATATTATTATTATATTATAATTATTATCAACAATTTATTAAGTGCATTATAAATTCAAAATTTCTCGAAAGCGCTCTCTATTATAAATGAAATCAGTTGAGGTCAATAAAGTACAAATCGATAAAGTATTTCTATGTCAAAATAAATATGTTTATATATATATATATATATATATATATATAGAGAGAGAGAGAGAGAGAGAGAGAGAGAGAGAATGAGAGATTTAAAGAGCGAGAGGTTTTTTTTGTTGTATTTTGAGTCAACATTTAATCGAAATCAATGTGCTTATCTTTTATTGTGCTTATATTTGAAGAAAAACTTAGCAACTTTGTACTTTTTGGTAAAATTTATTTTGTCACTCGTCAAACATTCGGATTCTTTATTTTTAATTGAATGTTTGTTATTTAAAAAATAAGCTCAGCAAAGAAATCTTCGGGAGAAAAATTAAATGACCCTCTTGTTTATATACATTAAGTATGGGAGTATAATATTAAAAGGTTTTGAATCCATCGCATTGTTTTTTTAATTTTAACCAAATTGAATAATGTTCGTTTAACCGTGCCATTTTTGTTGAGCTTGTTTTAGACAATTACATATGTAGAGTTTCGTTTGTAATTCTGAAAATATCGACACGCCCACTGTTGTTATTCTTGATTATGCCTATGTGATCGGGCTTATAGACAACGCAATTAAACACCGAACATGAGCACTACTGAGAGTTTTCACATTCTTGATAATCTATACCTTGTCTTTCAACATCGTAAAACTAAATATTCACTTTGAATAAACAAGGAACCAATAAATAAGCACAGTATAAAAATATTTGATCATCTGGGCACAACCATAATATATCAATTTGAACATAGGAATAGGAATACCGAAAAAAGCTCTTCTGTTCTATCATGCATAAAATGAACAAAAATTTTGGTTTTGAACTAAAGAAACTTAAAAATGATTTATGATCGACCGTTAGAAAAATCCTAGAATAGAAAGTGCCAAAGAACCACCAGATTGTTATTTTAATATAATTGGGTTTGGATCAACTTTTGAGTTGTTATTCAATGAAGGAAGCAAGAAGTATAAAAAGGAATCTTTGGAAAAAGCATTAGAACATCAAAAAACGTTATCAGCTGATTTTGGAGGCACAGAAATTCTTGAACCATTAGTAAGCGTATACAGCAAACAAATTTTACCTGCACATAGCAGGAATATTTTTTTGATCATCGATGGTGAAGTATTCAACACTGAAGCGGTGGTTAGCTTGGTGCAAAAGCATTCGCACGATACAAGAGTTTTTACATTGAACACTGGCGAGGGCGCTTCTACCACTTTAATTAAGGGTGTTGCTAGCGCTGGCAAGGGCAAGACAGAATTTGTGAAATCAGATGATGAAATTTTGCAGGTTGTCATAAAGTTGCTGAAATGTGCCATACAGTCTACTTTCACAAATATCAAAATTGATCGGCAACTGAACTGAGCTAGTTGTATTCAGATTCCTAAGGTGGTGTGGTTCTTTCAATTTTTCACCCTCCATATCCCCTTCGGAAGTAAGCTTTTTGTTCGACAGTTAAAAGTGAGCGAAAGCCATTATATTTATTTTAGTTATGTGGTTTTTTCATATAAATAGAATATAGAATATCTATATTTTATTTATATGGGTTATCCACTTAAACTGAACCGGCTTAAATACCGACCGTTAAAATTGTAACATCTAGTCATTCAAGTTTTCAAGTGGAGCTAAATTTAAGCTTACGCGTAATCTAAGAAAGATGCAAACAAATTTTTAATTTTTTAAATTCTGAATTTGAAGCTAAGAATGTCTTTGAAAAAAAGCTCGTCTGACAAAGAGCTGTTAGGTTAGTTAGCTGAAATGATGTATGAATAATAAATAATTGAATATTGTTGATTTTTTTAATTTATATTGACTTGAGTGTATCTGACTAGTCAACTAGTGTCTCTCTCTATTCTATTATAAATTATAATTTATTTATATATAATTATATATATTGTACCTGATGTGTATTGATTTGTATTTTATTTGTATATCAGGTCAGTTTTGTAGTTGAGTTGTGTTGTGGTTTATGTAGTAATCTTACATTTTATTTTACTTGTAAAATAGTAAAGTTGTAAGTAACGTAATTGTAATCATGTATTATAACTTTTATGTATAATATTAGATATCATATCATCACTTTATTAATAATTAATATGTTATTAATTTATTTTTATTTAACATGTAACATTAAAAACAAATAGATTTGTTTGGCTTTTATATTTCTGAGCATCACATGATGGATTTGGTTGATATCCTACAGAAAAAAGATACCTTAGATCATTATTCAATTACTATCAAGTTTGCTTTTCAAGTTTTTCATGTTTTAAACTATAATAATGAATTTTTTATTAACTTTCTTTACAGTTTTTTGAGTTTGTTTGAGTTCAGTGTTGAACTTGGAGACCGTTTATTGAAGAGTCCAATACAAACGTTGAAATTGTTGGATGAGGCATGCATCCAAGTGGCCTCAAAGGTTCACAGAGAAAGTAATGAGGGTTATTTCAATTCCCTGGTAGGTTTGCTACATCATGTTCCGTGTTGTGTATCACGTTGCATCATGCCAGTTCACTTTACTTACGTTATTCTTTTTTAGAAATTAAAAATTTTCATTTTGAAATATTTCATATTATCACAACATGACATATTAAGTAATACGTCTTGCTACTACTTTCTGTTTAATCAATTAATATTTTGGAATATTTTTTTCAAACTTTTATTCTGTCATATACTCATCAAATGATAAATAATTACAATGATAAGACAGGGGCTTGAATTGAAAAATTGAACTCTGACATTCATCACATTTCCTTACGTAGATCTTTGATTTAATTTCTGTTCATATCTAAATATGGTACATTGGAGCTCTAACACAATCATTCGCAAGGTTCCCAAGAAAAATATTCACTGCAGGGTCACTGGTCTGCCTGTTTGCCCGGAGTTAGTTAGAACACGACTGCCAAAATGTTCTGATGTTGGTAACTTCCTCTGCATTACAGGTTTTTATCATTTTTGTCTTTCTTTTAATTAAATGTGTGCGTTTTTTCAGCATGTTATTGCTGATATAATCAAGTTGTGGTGCTACTGTAGTCATAATTTATATAGTAGTTGATATCTGTATGTATGAGATGACAACCCATTCATAGAAAATATGTTACTAACTTTATATGTATATTGTGGTAAATGCAAGGTACAGTAATAAGAACTGGAACAGTGAAGTTGTTGGACTTTAAGAAGTTTTACATGTGCATCAAGTGCAAGCATGTCTTCCAGGTTGAGGTGTGTCCAGTTGCTTCAGATATATCCATTGAATGCTGTTCACTTTTTTTTACATACTGTTGAATTGAATTGCCTCTGTGGATGATGTTGAGACTCATGAGAAGTGGATGTTATTAAGAGTTTTATTATGTGTACAGATATATATATTTTGGTAATAGACCACAATTTTTACAAAATGTTGGTAATAGACCATAATTTTTACAATTTTTACTTATTTGCAGCATGAATTCGGAAAATAAGTTTATTTTAAATTATAATAAACTAAACGTTCTCCAAAAAACTTTAGCGAGAAAAATCGAAAAAACGAACTACAAACATATTAACGCCAAACATTTGGTAGAATTTATAGAATATTGTAAAGATATATATATATATATATATATATATATATATATATATATGTGTGTGTGTAAATATTCATTATTTGGTTAATGTGCAATTTCCTATTAAGTAGTAATAGTAATTATTACAATTTTTTTTTACTTCATTTTATTCTATCATCTTTTTTCATTTCTGGATCATTTCATTTCAATCAATTTTGATCTTGATTTGATAAATAAAAAAAATTACTAGGATAAAAAAAAACAAAAAAATGCACTGTACATCAGGCTGACTACGAGCAATACTACACAGTATGCAGTCCTTCCAAGTGTCCTAACAGTGACAGCTGCAACAGAGGTTTTGTAGCTCTGGAAGAAAAAGGTTTCATTCTGTTCAAAATATTTTAACTCAACCCTAGAAATATATTTTATAGCACTAATTACTATTGAGATCTGTTGGACGCTATTCATTTTTGCATTGAAAATCTCGTCCGGAAACATCCTTATTTAGTTATTTTAACAAATACAAATATACAAAGGAGATACAACTGTTATTAAGTGTCAAACTAGCAAAAAAATTTTCACCAGTGACATTTTTTTCCAGTTCCTGCAAACCCTGCACCATGTCGGAGCAACTCTGCTTTAATCATTTCATAAATACACATTCGTTGTTTTCCAACAATAATTGGAGTTACTATTACATAGAGAAAGAACCCTGGTCTAGAGGGTTGTTATTGAAAAGTTAAAAAATTATTCTATTTTAGCTTCAAATACTTTTATGAAGTTTTTATTCTACTATTTCATCCTACTATTTCATTATACTGATATATTATTATTATTATCATCATATTATGTTATCACTATTAAACGGTTTTATTTTTCTTTGCTATTTTTCATAAACTTCTCCACTTCTGATCCACATCACCAGGGGCCTCGCCTGAAAATTGTCGGAACTTCCAGGAAGTAAAAGTTCAAGAGCAGGCGGGACGATTGAAGGTTGGCACGGTGCCGAGGTCCCTTTGGGTGGTGCTACTCGACGATCTGGTCGACTGCTGCAAGCCTGGAGACGATGTCAACATCACGTTAGTCCTTTGTTCGCTTGTTCGTTCGCTCGTTTGATAGTTTGTTTGTTCGTTCGCTCGTTTGTGCTTACAAGTAAATTATTTGTTGATCTGCTTTGCTGTTCTGTATTTGTCTGTTTTAAACTTTCTATTTCGTTATTTCTTGGTTATGACTGCTTGCCTACCAGCATATGTTTATCCAATCACACACACACACACACACACACACACACACACACACACACACACACACACACGTGCATACACATACGTGCACACACACAAACACACATACATAAATGCATATGTACAAGCGCGCACATACAAACTTATACAGTGGTGTGGTGAGTAGGAGATGGCGTCCATTGTATAAGGACAGAAGATGCAATGTTGAACTGTCCATCAGAGCCAACCACGTCCAAGTGACCAACATGCAAAAGAATGATGTCCTGCTAACCAATGAAATGGCTCGTTTTTTATTTTTTTTATCTTTCCTCTCCTAAACGCATTTGCTCTACTAGTTGTACATCATTGCTAAACAGACAGATAACATTTTAATAATACCAAGAATTCAGTGGTTCTTACACAGACTGTTATGTTATACAAATCCATATAATAGAAGGAGAGTTTCTACAAATTTTGGGAAGAGAACCGTTCATGTGCACTCGAAGGGCGTGACCTCATCCTGTCCAGCGTCTGCCCTCAAATATACGGCATGTACATGGTCAAGTTGGCTCTGCTGCTTGTCCTCATAGGAGGCAATCAGGTTCTATATTTATCCTTCCATATTTTCTTCATCATCGTTACCATTGCTGCTTCTGCTGCCGTTGTTGTTGTTGATATTGTGTCGTCGTTGTTGTTTATGCTGTCGTTGTTGTTTATGCTGTCGTTGTTGTTGTTAATACTGTTGTTGTTGATGTTGTTGTTGTTATTGTTTGTTTACAATTTTTTTTCAGTGTATCTCAGTGGCACCTGCAACAAATACGTAATACTTTGAAATGCACATGAATGAATGCAGCCCACAACTGTCAAGTGTTATGTTTATAAGGTCAAGTGTTATGTTTATGTTATGTTTACGTCAAGTGTTATGTTTATAAGGCATTATTTTCTGCTTATAAATCTGTGCGTAGAGATTGGGTTGCCACACAGTGCCAATTACAATGATGATTTAGAGTGATGTTCAAAGTCATATTTTATAAATTATACGTTACTTTCGTCCTTAAACGTTTATTAAATGCTGTGTTTGGTTTTGCTTTATTCTATTTTATTTGCTAATAAATAATTAAAATTTTTTGTGGTTTATGATGAAGGTTTTTGTTTGGTTTGGATGTTTATAAAATTTTATGTAATAGCACATGAGACATACAAACCACTAATAATAATAATAATAATAATTGGAACAATCTTTTATTGACCACAAAGATGAAATCAAAATGAAATCAATCGAAAATTAATGATAATATATAAAAGTGGAACATCTTGCAGCATCCTTAATCTATATGATATATACATATTTTATAATAATAAAAATTATTATTATTATATTTATAACAATAACAATGATAATAATAATAATTTAATTTGTAATTGAAATGCAACTATGATTGGTGTGGTTTCAAAATGAAGAGGGTGGATGAATCGGGCACGAAAGTCAGAGGGGAGTCGCATCTGCTGCTCGTCGGTGATCCCGGTGAGGTGTCTGTGTTTCTCTCACTGTCTGTATGTATGTCTGTCTGCTTTTATGTCTGTTTGTATGTCTGCTTGGGTGTTTGTTTGCATTTCTGCTTGCAGGTCGGTCTGTTTGCATGTCTGATTGTATATCTGTTTGCATGTCTGCTTGTATGTCTGCATGCATGTTTGTTTTGTATGTAGGATTGTATCTAGGATTGTATGTCTGTTTGTTTTTACCCATCTGTTTGTGAACAACATTGATGTTAGAGATACAATTCTATTCCAACCAGTAAGTACAGCAGGTAGTGTGATGCTCGCCAAATTGAATGAAGAGCTTTCTGACATTTTGAAATTTTAATCATTTTTGTTGTAATTTTACAAAATTCACTCAACCAACAGTTTAAAAATTTTTAAAAATTATTTCTAAAAATCAATGAATCTCCTCCTAAACACACTCCACCCAACTTACCTCAGGTACGGGGAAATCACAAATGATGAAATACGCCTGCAGGGTCATGCCCCGATCCATCCTCACAACCGGGGTGGGGTGCACCAGCGCCGGTCTCACCGTCACCGCTGTCCAGGTGGTCCATTTTCAATATTTTATTTGCTGCCCCAGCATATTTGTGATTTTTTTTTGACGTGACTTGGACGTAACTCTAAAGTCTCCTAATTCAATTTTAAATCTAATCTAATTCTGACTTCCTACGTGAAATCTATAGGATAGTGGTGAATGGCAGTTGGAAGCAGGAGCCCTGGTGCTGGCCGATGGTGGAATTTGCTGCATCGATGAATTTAACAGCATCCAGAAACATGACAGAGCCAGCATACACGAGGCTATGGAGCAACAAACTATCAGTGTTGCCAAAGCTGGTCTCGTCTGTAAACTGAATACCAGGTAGGTGCATTTGTGCGTGTGCGTGCGTGCGTGTGTGCATACTTGTGTGTGTGTGCGTGCGTGTGTGTTTTTATGCTTTTTTATGGCATTATGTGTGTAAACACTTGCATTTACATACATGGTGAACTAGTTGATTGAACATTGATTGATTACGATTAGTTGGTTGATTGACTGACTGCTGACTGGTTGATTAAGTGATGTATCAATCACAGATGTTCAGTCATAGCTTGCACAAATCCAAAAGGGCAGTATGATATCAACGAGGTTATTTCAACTTACTTTATTCTAATACGTCGACGATTTAGCTCAGTCGTTGAAAGTGCCATGTCTCGTGCAGTTACGCGCTAGCCTGGTTCGAATGCTGTCTTGTCCGAAACTCCAAGATATGGATCATAACCCATGCGTGTGCAATACGGTGCTTGTGCGTGAGTACGTAATGTGTATGTGCGTCGTATGGTCTGGATGTTACAGCCTTCGTGTCACGAAAGCTTACTGCAAATAAAGGAATGATATGTAAATGTAAGCAGTTTTGTGTATATTAGAACAAAAGAAAAACTTGATGCATTTTTAAAGATGGGTACATACGTAAATATAATTTCTACTCTCATACTAACTTACACATAAAGAATAGACAAATTCACTAACACGCACGCAAACAGCACACGCATAAACATGTATACTCTACTCTACGACACGCAAAGGCACGTACAAACACACAAACACACACGCACACACACATCTAAATACGTACCTACATCTACTCAGTCCATATCAGTGAACACAGCCATTGCAACACCACTGTTGAGTAGATTCGATGTAGTCCTGGTCCTACTAGATTCACAGAATCCCGAGTGGGATCAAGTTGTTTCGTCACATATTCTCATGAAGAAATGTACGTGGTGTTTGTCTGTCTTGTGTTTGTTTCATTGTGACTGTTTCGTTGCGTTTGCTGTTCTATGTTTGCCGCTTCAGGTTTACTGTGTTGTGTCTGTTGTGTTTGTCTTTTTATATTTGTTGTGTTGTGTTTGTTGTGTTTGATGTTTTTAGTTATCCTTCTAATCATCTGCTTCATAATTTGACCACCACCACAGACAGCATGAAGTCGGTTGGTGTGACTTCGTCAGCGTGGTCGATAGAGAAGATAAGAGCTTATTTGAGTTTCGTTAAATTGTTGCTACCAACACTTTCTAATGATGCTATGAGGTTGTTGCTGTTGATGGCATTGTTGTTTATGTTGTCGTTGTTGTAGTTTATGTTGTTGCTGCTGTTGCTGTTGTTGATGTTGTTGTTATTGTTGTTGTTGATAAGTTATCCCCACTGACATGTTAGGATCATGTCCGAGTACTACAAGGCACAGAGAAAATCAGAGGATGTTTGCCATGCAACGAGAACCACGATGAGACTGCTGGAAAGTCTCGTTAGACTGTCTCAAGGTAGGCGATGCCCCGTTCATTTCTTGCTGCTGTTGTCAGTGATGCTATGTTGTTGCTGTTATTGATGATGATGTTGTTGTTGGAGTTATGATATTTTGATGTCAGTGATAATGTTGATGTGATGTCTTTTGTTATAATGTTACAATCATGTGGTTAATTTTTTTACTGTTCGCATAGCCCACGCCAAGTTAATGATGAGAGACGAGGTGACGGTACAAGATGCAGTCATGGCTGTCACGCTCATGGAGGCGACCATGCTTAATGTTTGTTTGTTTGTTTATATCTATATTTGTTTGTTTGTATGTTTGTTTGTATGTATGTATGTTTGTTTGTTTGTTTATATCTATATTTGTTTGTTTGTATGTTTGTTTGTATGTTTTTTTGTATGTTTGTTTGTTTGTATGTATGTTTGTTTGTATGTGTCTTTGTATGTATGTTTGTTTGTTTGTTCGTATAGTTGTTTGTATAGTTATTTGTTTGTATGTTTGTTTGTATGTTCACTTGTTTCCGTGTTTTGTTTTCATTGTTTATTTTTAATATAACTTCTGTCGATTTGTTCTCGTTATATATGTTTTGTAGTATTTTTGGATATTTGTATCAATCCATGTGTTACTTAATTTGTATGTCGTTTTGCTGTGAGCTGCTGATCGTAGCTGCTGATCGTAGCGGCTGATCGTAGCTGCTAATCGTAGCTGCTGATCGTAGCTGCTAATTGTAGCTGCTAATTTTAATAATCATATAATTTCAATTAATTAATAAAATTTTTGATGTTAATGCACTGTCATCGAGACAACAACCCACCCTACAATTGCATTCCTTAGAACTCTCAATTCATCGATGGCTCCAACACTCTCCACATGACCTTTCCAACACAGCCACAACTTCGTTATCAGAATCAAGGTTGAGGTTTTTGTTATTGTTATTATTGTAATAATGATAATAATAATAATAGTAATTATGGTTTTACATTTTTTATATTATTATTTGTTTTTATTTTAAATGATATTTAAAATGTTTATTTATTTCTTGAAACCAGCAATGCAGTTGTTGGAAAGGCTGAAGTTGTTTGACGTCTTGAAGAGAGAGACGGAGAGATGGAATGGACAGCCGGATGTTATGAACAACATCAATAATAATAATAAAAATAACAACAACAACAACAATATTAATAATAATATTAATAATAATAATATTATTAAATTGAATGTTCCCGAAAACGACAGTCTGTTAGATGATGGCGACGCTGACAACTTGTTGAACAATGAATATGATGACGTTGGAATCATTACAGATCATCCCTCGATGCAAGTATCACCCATTGCAACAAGAGTAATGACTTCAGCCAGTCAGAATCGCCTAGCATGTGCAACAGTAGACACATTAACTGGCCGCAAATTGCCCGCGTCCAATACGGAAGATGTTCCAACACAGACGAAACTATCAACAAAATCGATTTTTTTTTCATCTAACTTGGGTAATACTCAACTAGGCAACTCAAAAGTATCTATTCCAAATTGCAACGTTGTAAATGATGGCCGGGAATCAAAAAATGATGAAGTGCTATCAACGAAACTCTCAAAAGTAGCCAAAAAATTGAACAAGTTCGCATTTAAAGACAGAGGGGATACACGTAAATCTTTGGAAGAAACTATTAATGATTGTTCGTTGACTGTAAACGAAGGGTTAAACACAGTGTTCGCACGTAACAACAACGTTAACGGCGTCTGTAATGAACGTTTGACTTTCAGTAATATCTTTGAGGTTGGACTAGTTCGTCATTAACGTACTGTTTGTTTGTATGTTTAAAGTGATGAATTTATTAATTATAATTTATTTAAATTTTTTTTGAAAGGGTGATAACGAAGCGGCAGAAAACCAACCTCTCGATAATGTTTCTTTGATCACAACAAACCGGCAACATAACAACAGCACATTGAAAAGAAAGTTAATGTCAGACCCCGTCAGTCAGTCATTCACTAATTCATTGACTGATCAGTTCGGTGGCTCCAACGACAATGATGCAAGGGGACGAAACATATTTTCCATTGGTGGCGATGTTTCAGACGAAGATGTTGACGATATTTTATCTCTACACTCTTTTACTAGCATTCTTCCTAAAAAATTTAAAAAGTCGTAATCTCGTTGTATTTTCTCCTAGACTAGATGATCAATTTCAATATTTAAATTTCATTTTTTTAAAACTTTTTGGTTCGAAGTCGAATTCTGTATAAAATACAGAGATATTTGTGAACCGTTTTATGTATGTGTATGTGTGAGTGTGTGTGTGTGTTTGTTCGTACATACGTGCTTTGAATTCTGACATTGATTGATTTGTTGCTTTATACATATACCTGTATACAATGTGTGTATATATAAAGAAGAAAGTGATTGACCTATACGTGAACATATATCTATAAGTTTGTCACTTATATTTAGTATAAAATACATGACTCGTATGTATGTAAATATATATAAATATGTATATACAATACACATACATAAATATAATTTGACTCTTGTCAGTAAAATACCAAGAAACAGAAGATGCATTGATATCAAAACGTGTAATGTATGGTTTTAGTGAATAGGTCGAAATTGCATATATAGGAACAAGGGGAGGCCTATTTACCAGCATACAACACCTTATGGGTTGAAGCAGGGATATGCAAAGAACCTCAATTTTTTCAACTTTTAATTATTTTCAGTAATGTCTCCCCTTGCTCCAAACCACATAACTAGAATAATAGGACTAATCGATCAATTCGATCTATCGGTCGGTCGGGCTATTTGTCGTGCTTGGATTGTTGGCTTACGAAATTGCATGGATTTTAACGAGCAAGCTAAATGAAATATTTACTTGATTTAATATGCTTAAAACATTGTAATAATTCTATTTAATTTTAATAATGATTGCCAAAATTGCTTTTGGTCCGGTGAAATCTGGTGGCTTACTGTAGCCGAAGGTTGGCTTAGTAGGATTGAACTATAGTCACCCTTTTTTTTACACTATTCGATCATGTTAAAAATTGGTTTGCTTATGAAATAAACGGCCTAAATAAATCAAAATTGTTATTTGAACAACTATCTTCATTATATTCAATAAATATTTTACATTCTGCTGGTGCTCATAAGAAACTGGCTGCTGAAATCATACGTTGGCTTACGGCAGTGGCTTACAGGGTTTCATAGAACGATAGCACTTTTTTGCACATATAATGCTTTAAATAAATCAATATATTCATATTACAATTATTTTTGTCAGTATAAATATAGAAATTGCTTTTGTCAGGTGAAAAACAGTGGCTTACTGAAGCCGTAGGTTGGCTTAATCGGATTTTTTCTCATGTATACAATACTATGAGATAAATCAATCAAACAATCAGTCAGTCGGTCGGTCAGTCAGCCAGTCAGTCAATCAATCAACCAACCGATCAATCAACTAAATTGAATGAACCAAATAAACAAAAATAAAAAAAAAATTAAAAAAATTTGCAAGGCCTGTTCAAACTCGAACAAACAGTTAACCGTACAGATCTACAAACAATTTCGAGATTTTAGTAAAGAAAGAATAACACAGTAGTTGCTTTTATTTGAATTCATTCAAAAATGTAAAGTGACGGTTAATTAAAATTTTAAAATGTCAATTTTTTTTAAAAATTCGTATTTTAAATAAACAAATATAACAAAATATCGACCGATAAAAATAATTATTATCCATTATTATTATTATCATACACACTCCTTAGAAGTTCTCGAAGGATAATAAACCACGTAACATGAACATTTAGTAAGAACAGTTCACAACAAATCATAATGACTAAATCAACATACTAAACAGAAATAATTTATACATGCATATATACAAAGTAAATCAAGAAATATCCAAAAATTATATAACCAATTTAAAAAAAAACTAGAAACCAGTCAACATTTAATGAATAAATAAATAGACATTATTAAAAAGATTGTTCAAAAAGGTACAATTTAAGGCGACGACGAGAATGAAATGTAGTTTGTTTTGTTGGTGTGGTGTTGTGAAGCGAAAACAAACACACCACACCAAACTAGTAAGAAGTCGCAAGAATAATAGTCAGTCACCTACCTATAATAAAATTACTCTCAGGGCCCTAGCTTACTTATAAACATTGACTCAACTCACTTACCTACAAATTTGTATTTCTCGTTTTAGATGTTTCAAATATTTTATTTAACATATTTTAGCGTTTTTATTTTACTTGAAGCTTTTTAACTAATGTTAAGCCCTAGCCTACCTACAATTGTTTAACTCATCTCAGTCCCTAACTTACCTATGAATTAAATTAAAGCCCGGTTCACGGTAAAGAAAATATAAAGTTGAAGAGAAACATAGCAACAACGACACCGAATGAATGGATGTTGTGTATGTATGTGTTGTATCGATGTGTGTGTATGTAAATGTGCGGGCGCGCACTCTCCAGAAACTTCACTCAATACCGACGAACCTCCATTGCACCGACCATCATCTGACACGCATCGATGGAATGAATTTGACCGGATACTGAAAAATAAATTGAAAAAAAAAATTAATTCACTAAAATAAAAAACAAGCAATTGGAAAAAAATAGGCAACTTATCTTTTTGAGATAACACTCAATCTTTGTTCAAATTCGAGTACTTTCAAAGGTACAATGAGACAAAAACAAATTTACCTTTAACATTATCTTCGATTTGTCATCGGAACGATCATCATGAGACCACCATCTGAAACGTGCTGACGCCCACCACAGCCCACCTCTCATAATTCTGTAGACAAGTTTTTATTAATTAGCGAAGTAGTAAATCAAGAAACAAAGGAACGAACGAATAAATGATTAACTGAATGATTGAACGATTGGTTGAATGAATAAATTAATTAATCAACCAATGATTTAATGAATGAATAGAATGAATCAATGAATAAAGTAACTGAGGAATAATTTGAAAGATAGTGATAAAATGAATGAATGAATGAAAAAAATAAAAAAAAGAAACTAAATCATACTTCAAAAACCGTCGTTGTTATCTTCGAATTGTCATCGGAACGATCATCATGAGACCTCCATATGAAACGTGCTGATGCTCACCACAGCCCACCTCTCATCATTCTGTAGACATTTTTTTAATAGCGTATTAGTAAATCAAGGAACAAAGGAACGATCGAATAAATAATTAACTGAATGATTGAATAATTGGTTGAATGAATGAGTGAATGAATGAATTAATTAATAAATCAATGATTTAATTAATGAATAGAATGAATTAACGAATCAAATAATAGAAGAATAATTTAAAAGGTTGAGTGATAAAATGAACGAATGAGAAAAATAAAAAACGAAACTAAACCTTACTTCAAAAATCGTCGTTACTGTACTTTCCATTGCACCGACCACCACCATCTGGTCGGCACACAAAATACCATCCGAACTTCAGAGTGTCAGTCGAACAGCCAACGAGCTGATGATTCCTACACCACGATCATCATATGTAAATCATCATGAGACCACCATCTAAAACGTGTTGACTC